ATATTTTGAATTCTCGTAAGTTGTTGCCAATGACCTTTAAAGCGTTTTTATGATCCAGAGCTTATATTTCTTTATAAACAGATATAGAAGGCACGGCCCAATCAAATTGCTATCTGAGAGGCGCTTGCAAAGTTTGAGGTAAGTATCTACACCGCCAGATTGTTGGATCCTTTTCTGTAGTCCCTGCAGCACAGCCGCCCTGTCCAAAAACTCCGGGTGCAAACCCAAATCAAGCATTTTTATTACTGTTTCTGCAGCATCGTCAAAATGTCCCCCTTTAATGTAACCTCTTAGCAACCACGATAGGCTTTTCTTTTTACGCGGAGAGCTGGAAACATCTGTTCTAGTAAGCAACCGTCCTATGGCATTAGCCTCCTTTTGGGAAGCACAGATAGCTAAAACAATGTCATAAAGGTCAGCATCCGCCTCTTTACCAACAAGTTTCATTTCCCACAACTGCCTCTCAGCCTCAAGTCCATGTCCAGAGCAGATATACATAGCCAGAAGCCTCTCGTGAACCACCCCATGGAGTGCCGAACTTCCCTCCTCAATCACCCAATTGGACAGTTGTACTCCATCAGCTATAAGATCCGACTGATACTTCTCAATAAGCCCAATATTTTCTGTATCAAATTCAGCTACCAGCCCGGCCCTTGCAAAACCTTTCAACTTGCGTAAAGCTTTCGCAAGTTCATTTAGCTCCTTAACCACAGCCGTCATTGCAATGAGGTAGCTGTAGACCTCTGGCTTCAACCCTGATTCTCTTAGATGAATCACAAATGTCACAGAGTCCCTATAGTTACCCTCGACCTGCAGAAACACATCCAATAGTTTCATTATCATATACTTCGGAAAGTCTTAAAAGTTTTTTTAATATATATGTTAAGACAGATGAATACAAACCCAAACCAATGCTAACAGTTTTGCCTTCCACTGATTTATGTTTTGCCACCTAACCAGTCTAACAATAATTATTAAAAAATGTGTATACTCTAGTATTAGAATTAGCTATATGACTGGAGAACCCACTTAATTCATCAAAAATGGCCACACCATCCTAATAATTCAGCATGACAATGTAAACTCAAGTCAAAGCCAAAGCCACAACCCAAAAATTCTATCACTACCAACGGCATGTGAGCAGTTCAAATTGAAAAAGCTTCTAAATTCACAGGTGCATTTCGCAATTGAATAGCATATTATTGAGGACAATAGTAAACAAACACTTACCATCATCTTCCAAGCAAGATAGCCAGTTGGCCCTCCCTTATGCCCATCCGTATCATCTTCCTCCAAATACATAATTCCACGCTTCAACACCTCTTTCACAAACAAAACCGCCTTTTCCTTCTCACCCATCTCCCAATACAAAGAAATGACTTTCTCCATCATGCTAAAACTCGGCTTCAAGCCCACGCAGTCCGATTCTACAAGGAGGTCCACCACATCCCCAATGTCATGTTCCCCCTCAATCAATTTCTTGACCCAACTACACATTATGGAAACCATGAGCTCCATCGTCTCCTTATCGACCCGATTCTCCTTTCGGAGCCACTCAAACACCTCAAGGGCACACCACGAGTCCCTCCCCTCCTGGGAAAAATACACCAACACAAGCTGCAACTCTCTGGCCGACAACCGGTCGTTCATTTCCCCAAGAACATCGGACGGCTCTCTTGCCATTCGCTCCAATTCCTCAATTGCCTCGAAGAAACCTTCACCCATTTCGTCCTCGTCGTCGCTGGTCAGGAACTGGTCCAATTGAACCGAATTGAAAACCCTAAAGTCTCGAAGTTTGCTTGATTTCGCAACGCCCAAGTTGGGTTTTTGATGTTTGCAGATTATGGGAAAAACCCTAGCGCAAGATTGAGCCGAGAACCCCTGGCGACCGATAAAACGCTGCCGTTTAGCCGCAAAACACAACCGAGTCAGCGAAACAATCCCCTGGGCAGAGGCCATTTTCTTCAGTCGAATCCCAAAACTTCTCAACTAAGAAAACCCAGTTTCCACTCCGTTTGGATGCCGAGAAAATCAAGGAAAGCGGAAAAGAAAAGAAAAGAAAATTTCTGTGAAGTACAACCCACGTCAAATATCCGCGAAGTAGAACCTACCCTTGTCTGGAATTGAAGTTTCGAGAAAACCCAGAACAGAGATTCGAAGTCCTCACCTTTCTTTCTCTCATCCCTAAATTTTCTCGGGAGCCAAACAGGATTTGGGGATTTTCAGCTGGAAAAGCTGAACTCCAAGAGCGATTTCCTGAGGAATGTAAAGAATATGAAAGACATGCGCTTTAAGTGGTATCATCCAATTGAAAACCCTAATAAAAATTTGGGAATTTGTGGATTGATTGTGATTTGTGAGGTGCTCCTGCAATGGCCGAACCTTTGTCACCACTGTCCTGGGTGACACTGACAACCAAACCTCCTCTGATTTTTCACCGTTGCGCCTGCTGACGTGTCCCAAGACAGTCTACTCGGCGGAATCTGGTGCGCAACTCCCACGTGTGAATTAAGAAAACTCGGTACCTTTTTAAAGCTTTGGCTTCTCAATCATTATAAATTCTTATTTTTAAAATAACTAAACTCGTTTTAAGTGATAATATTTTTGAAGTTTAAAAGCATTTAAAATGCTTACTGTATGGTACTTTCGCATAAAGTATTTGAAGTACTTTTTCAGAATTCATTTGTATTTTACTAAGAATTAGTTTCAAAAATATGTTTACCAAAAATATCTTCAATCATTTTTAAAATACTTCCAAACGAGCTATTATAAAGTTTCGTGCTTATCATAAAAATAATTTGTGTTATAATCACTACATAAAAATTCTCGAAAAAAAATCAATCAAAACTAAAGTTTTTTAGTCAATCAATTGGAGTAAATACATAGACGGTTCAAAATAGATTAACTAAAGGAAATTGATCTATTTGCTACAGTCGATTGACTAAATAATTTTAGTTTTAATTGATTTTTTTATAAAGATAATCTTTACGAAGTGTTTTATAATATGCCATTTTCCGATCGTAAACACAAAATTATGTGAATTGGTTACAAAGAATTTGAGTAGGTTCCTACTCGTTATTGAGTAGATAAGTATTATTCTACCATATAATCGAACACATGGTGAAATTTTAGAATTTAGCTAAAACACTTACAAGTATTTAAGCCTTTCACAATAATTTAGGTGAATTTTATTATTATATATAGAAACCAAACAACTTGAGCTTGATTCCTATAACAATGTTGCGACAGCGGTATGAGTTTGGTAGATGTGAATTCCCTTTTCTTTTTCCCGAAATTATGATTGAGTGGTCTCTTTCCTCTCTCAAACGATTGGTCATCTATTTATACATGAATCAAACTACAAATTCAAAATTTTGAACTCAAGAATTAGAATCACTCTCATAAACTCAAATCTTTTGAACATGTGTAAGATTTGTATTCCTATAAAAATGAAATCAAACTCAATTTTCTGGCACACTGTGGAAGGCTTTATACTATCACCATCTGATGATGGTGATGCACTAGATGATCCAACCAAGTATTGAAGATTGGTTGGCCCCTTAATTTATCTTACCATTACACGACCGGATATTACCTTGTTCAGTTCATTTATTAAGTAGATTCATGCAATCTCCTCGAAAGCCTCCCTACGAAATAGCCTTACATATTTTAAAGTATTTGAAAGGTACTTCAGGTCAAGGTATTATATTTCCATCTCAAAAATCTTTACAATTGAAGGTATGTATGTGATTCAGATTGGGTGGGTTGTCCTATTACATGACGCTCAATAACTGACTATTGTGTTTTCTTTGGAAACTCGCTTCTCATGGAAAAGAAAAACGTCAGAAGATAGTATCTTTACCCTTTGTCAAAGCTTGTTGTGAACTCACATGGTTACAAAATCTTTCACGATCTACACATCCAAGACAAAAGGCCAGCCACCTTATTTTGCAATAATCAAGTCGCTCTTCAGTCTTCATATTGCAACAAATCCAGTATTTTATGAATGTATAAGACATTGAGAATTGCGATTGATTGCCACTTTGTTCATGATAAGATTATGGAAGGAAAGATTGTAACATGATTTGTTCCATCTATTGCTCAACTAGCCGACTTGTTCACTAAGGCTCTTTGAAAGAAGGGATTTCATTCTTTGCTGGGCAAGCTGGGTGTTCACAACATTCACTCACCAACTTGAGGGACAACGTTGAGAAAGTCAAAGATTGTGTGAAACTTTCAACCGAGAAAGTTAAAGATTGTATGAAGATATTCATATCAATTAGTATTATAGGGTAAGTATTTTTATTGATTACTTTCCTATCATGTAATATAACAAATCAATTAACTAGTTTGTAGGAGTTGATTGTATAATCTTACAACTACTAATGTTTCAAAAGACAAATTTATTATTAAAAGAAGGTTTTTAAGTCAAAATGGTATTTGAGATTATCATAACTCTTTACTTTGTTCCCTGATAGAATGACCAAAATAATTAATGGTTGACAAATTTAGGTTGTTCCCTGATGGAATGACCAAAATAATTAATGGTTGACAAATTTAGGAACCACTTATATTAATATTAAATCTTAATGATCCAAGTGAGACGCTATGGTAATCACAACGAGTAACGCTATTCATACCATGTTTTTATACCACATTTCTATACCATATTAGGTGTCATCTGATGTGGACAGCCACATTATTTGAAAAATTTGCAAAAACCAAAGAAATGAAGGAGAAAGACTCCTCGTATACCATAATCATCGTTTAATTAACTAGTTTTTCTTAATTATTAGTTTATTAAATAATGAACTAAATTTAAAAATATGATTAATTCAAATGATGTGGTTGTCCACATCAAATACCACTTAAAATTATATGAAAATATAATACAAAAATATGGTATGAATAACATCACTCAATCACAACAACCATTTGGACAAAAAAAAAAACCTTAAAATAAAGCAAGTGCCAAAGAGGGAAGGGAAAGCTCAGAGCATTTCATAGGAGCAGAAATGCACTCTTGCCTTGCCTTTGTTCCAGCAGCCATACAAGGCACGGGCAAACCATGTTCCTTCCTCTACCAGTTAGGCCACCTACCAAGATCGTCTTCTACCTCTAGACTCGGTCTTCTTCTTCTCCCTTCCAATTCAATTGCGGACACTTTCACCCTATCTCTCCTCGCTCCCTCACTCAGATTCCCACTCACAACAACAACAATCTTCAAGCCTCGGAGTCGCCGCCGCCAACTGACGTCAACTCCCGCCACTATGCTTCCAGAAAACCCGGTGGTTGCTGACACTTGCGCCGCCTTCATTGCCGGCGGCGTTGCTCTTTTCTTCCTGCTGTTGTGGCAAGAAACCGCCAAGCGTGGGATCTTCGACCAGGTCAAAATCCCATCTTTTATCGTATAATGTGTAGTTTGTACGGTTCATATTTGGGAACGCAATTTTTGGTCTTAGCTTTGGTGGGTTTTGATTGATTTGTAGGAAAGTACTGATCTTTTTGCTGACAATTAAGAACTATAACTAAGAGATTATGCAAATTGGTTAACGGTTGACATTTGTAAAACTCTTTTGAATTAGTGCACTAATGATTAATCACTTCCAAATGAGGCTGTTTGAGTATCAAAGAAGTGTACTTGGCTGTTCCACTAAAGCCGCCATTGATGCGAAGAGTGTGGATCAACAGCATGCCCAAAAATAGAGCGACCCAAGCCAAGAAGGCTCCCCGCTGTGCGAGGGTTGGAGGAACGTCTATCTTACACAACCTTACCCTTGCTTTGCAAAGAGGTTGTGGAGGCAAATAAGGCTCCTCACTTTGCAAGGGTTGGGGAACGTATACAGACGCAGCCTTATCCTTGCTTTGCAGAGATGCTGTTTTCACGACTCGAATCCGTAACTTTTCGGTCACAAAGGAGCAACCTTTTCGTTGCGCGTTGTGACCTTTCAATCACAAAGGTATCAAAAGGATGCCTCATGCAGCAAAAGAGAATGTATTTAGTATAAGCAATAGCTAATGTTGAAAGTGTGGATCCCGCGGCCGGGGATTGTTGTCTTGGATGATAGTTTAAATTATCTTGAGCCTCTCTGCCTATTGCCAATTGGTTTTGGGACGTTCCTCACATTCTAACAGTTGAGACTAAAGAATGACCTTGTAAAAACGTGATCAGTTAGCGTTTGGGGTTCCGTACCTCTGTGGTATGTATCCATGCTGAAAATGCTTTCAGATTTCTTATCTTTTACCATCTTTTGGTAACATGATTGCAACTAGTTTTGAAATATTGTTTTTCTGCTATGGATCATTATACCCCAAACAAGGGAGTGATCTGTTTAGAAATGGGATGTACTAGATCGTCATACAATCCAGGAGTTGTATCGGGCTTTAAGTTTTGTCTGATGCAGTACGTCATTGATCAACTTCTCAGCTTTATTAGGGACCTCTAAGCATAAATGTGCACATAATACTACATATCTTGCAATGTTTTCAAATTATCATGTTGGAACCTAATTATGATTTGCTCTTGCAAATTTATTACTTTACAACTTTTGCTTGGCTTTTTTGCCTTCTTCAGTTCAAATAGAGGAGAAGGGTAATGTGATCCTAATGTGGGTTCTGCTTCAGTATATGTATTGTGATGGGCAACATCTTTACATGGATTCAATTTAATCATTATAAGTTCGTTTTACTATAATTCAAAGTGGGTGATCATAACCTTCTCAACGTAACTTGTCTTAGAAGCCTGCCCATCTAAATTCTGTTACTTTTCTTTTGTAGAAACTCAATAGAAAGCTTGTCCACGTGAGCATTGGCCTAGTTTTCATGCTTTGCTGGCCACTATTCAGGTACTCTCTTGACTAAAGAAGTCGTTTTGATACCTTTTTCATGCATCTGCTCGATAATAGCTACTAAGAACAATTGCAGTTCTGGCCTTCAAGGAGCATTTTTTGCATCTCTTACCCCAGGCCTCAATATCTTCCGAATGCTTCTATTGGGACTAGGAATATGGAAAGATGAGGCAACAGTGAAATCAATGAGCAGATATGGAGACCACAGGTAGTTATTTTGCAAGACCTATTACTTCAAAGATGTCGATATTGAATATGCCTGCCATAAACCCACATTTGACTGTCTGTTCTTGGACTTGGTCTCACCTATAGAGTTCATTGCTAAGTTTCAGTAAAGTTACCGAGCTGCTTGACATTTTAAGAGAAACAAAGTAATTTCTGTTATTACAATAGAAAAATGAGTACAAATGCAATGGTTTGATGCAACCCACCTTACCAAATGACGTATTTTCCCTTCTCCAGAACAATCCCAAAAGAAATCTCTCATTAGTTTTTCCAATATCATTTGTGGGAAACAATTTTGTACAAGCAGGCAGCTGGCTATGCTTGAGCAAGACTAAAATCAAACTTTGTTGTTCTGGTTCTTTCCATTTTTTTTATTACCTAAATTAATATGATGTTTTACTTTGCCTTGTGCATCAGGGAACTTCTTAAGGGACCACTGTACTATGCCACAACAATAACTTTGGCTTGTCTAGTCTATTGGAGAACTTCCCCTATTGCAATTGCTCTTATATGCAATTTGTGTGCTGGAGATGGTACATCTAATTGAATCAGTTTGTCCATTCAGTTGTCTTGATTTAGGTTGACTTTTATCTTTTCTAATAAAACACTAGATCTCACAGCAGAGCTCTCAGGACTTCTCTCAAACTTCTAATGCGTGATTGCTTCAGGTTTAGCTGATATTGTTGGTAGGCAGTTTGGTACCCTGAAACTTCCATACAACAGAAACAAATCTATAGCCGGTAGTGTTGCAATGGCATCTGCTGGTTTTTTAACATCTATCGGGTAGCTTTTGCTGGCTTACTTTTCTGCTCTTTTAGACCTGGATTGAATATCAGAATCTAGCATGTTTCTTAACAGTTGGTATTGGTACTGCTGTGACAGGTACATGTACTATTTCTCCAGCTTTGGATATGTTCAGGAAAGTTGGGGTATGGCTTTGGGTTTCTTGGTTGTGTCTCTTGCCTCGGCACTGGTAGAATCGCTCCCCATAAGCACCAAGCTTGATGACAACCTTACAGTTTCACTTACTTCTGCATTAATTGGCAGTTTGGTTTTCTGATTTGGGGACCCCTTCGAAATAGCAGCCAAATTAAGGAAAATCGCTGAAGCCAAGTTCGCGGAACAATCATCAGTTGCCGTTGGCCAACTTGATTGGTTTGTATGTGTACTCTAGCATTGTCTATTAGCTTGACAATATGTAACACCAATGATGTATCAATAAACGATCAAATCGCGATTCTCTTTCGTGAATATTCATGGCAATGCAAATCACTTACCATTCCTGCATGAATAAGAAAACTGTGTTTGTTCCTGTAATCTGAAGCATTCAATGCATTTTCTATATATTGTTCTATTTACAGTCTTAATTTACCCCACAAACCGGCGGAAAATGTTTGCTGCACAATCTTCCACTATGACTTAAGCATGTTTGAGTTCCAGAAAATGCTTAGATCACAGATACATGTAACAGGAGCACAAAAAACCGAAACAAAGGTCATCGATATGAAGAGTTGTTCCTTGTTCCTCGAGGCGAAGGTCATCGATGTCAATCATTTTACTAACTCAAAGGAGGCAACTGAATTTAGCAGAAAATAATGAATGAAAATAGAAACGTATTAGGTGTGTGATTAACAATTCAAACCATGTAATTACACAGAAATATAAGCCTAATTTAGAATAGCTGTAGGGATGAAAAAGACATTTAACAGTAATACCGATATGGAAGGCTCTCATTACAACCACATCCCAGATTACATGTCATACCCATACAAAGCCCAGACACTCAATCTCCCATGCAAATTTCCCTATGATATTCACACACCATTTTTCTCCTTCTGCAAGTTCTTGTTTATTTCTATCCGTTTATTGTGGTTCATTATAATCAATCCAAAACAAGAGCGTGCAAGAGGGAAAAAAAAGGTGCGTTGAAATCGCAATGTTATGAACTAGGGTTTCTTGTAACTTCACTGCTAATATACCTCCTCAATGGCAACTCTGTTGAGCTTGCACCATCTCCATCTGTCCTCCTCTTCATAAACCATGATGAAAAACAACTACTCGGCTTCCCGACGACGTCGGAGTCTTCATCGTTTGAAGATTGCAGGTGACGATTCTTCGCTCGCCGGAGACAGGGAAACACGAGAAGGCAGAAAATGAAGGCAGCAAACAGCAGAATCACAACCACCATCATGACTTCTCCATGCAAGGCGTAGTGCCTGTCGAGCAAGAAGCGAATCCCGTCTTGGTCTTGTGGGGAAGAAGCCGTAGGAGCCATGGCAGGTGCCCATGCTGCTGCTTCTGTCACCATCCTCATCTCTGAACTTCTTCTCTCTTGCTAAGTTATTGCGACTGACAGTTGTGCTGGTGGTTTAATTTTTATGCCTGACAGTAACGAAATAAGCTGGACCATAACTGTAGGGTAATGTGTACGCTATTGCTAATTTACATACAATGTGAGGAAAATATTTGACAATGTGTAGGAATTTTTAGCGAATTCTTTGACAATTTATGGCCATAATTAACAAATTTCCAGCCATGTTTAGCGTGAACTATTTATTAAATTTTAACTCTTGGCAATTGTTTGACGATATAACTAGTGGGAACTATTTTCTTATTGTTGAATACAACAATTTATTTACACTAAATGCTAGATTAATTGACTAAGATACACAATAAATTAACTATAATATTTTGTATTGAATTTGCTATATAATCTAAAGACTTTTACTTAATGAAGAAGAATATTATTATACTGTAATATTAGGCGAACAACAACTATGAATTGTTTTTTTGGCTTATTTAAGCTATGCTCACTAAAACTCGGTTTTGTTCCTAGTTGTGCTTTGGAACTCAAAAGTCGTCATTTTACTCATTAAAACTCAATATTCGCTATGCTTTGTCTTGTTTCTATGTATTCCATTAAATAACCGTAAAGTTTAGGATTATATTTTAGCTATGCTCATTAGAACTTAATTTCGACTCCCATTTTGCACCCTGAAACTTAAAAGTCATCATTTTATTCATTGAAACTCAAATTTCGCTCCACATTGCCTTGTTTATGGTATTTTTAGAATAAGTTCATTCATTAAAAATTTATAATTGATAACATGCCACATTTCCCCCCTGAAATAAATGAATAGTAAAAAAAAAAAAACAAAAACAAAAAGAACCATTGTCCCTCTTCACCAGCACCACATAAGAATATAAGAAATAATTAAAGATGAAGCTAATGACAAGGTGGCTGGAGATAGAAGGACGGGGGATGAATGTACGACAACGATTAGAGGGGGTGGGGGGTGGGGTCAGAGATGTGAAACTTATAAACACTTGATTGGATATTTGAGCATTATGTACAGACAAGGATTAGGGAGAGGGGTCGGAGATGTGCTTACGTTTCTCACTTGTTTTGTTTTTGTTTCAATCTACGTGGCATCATTTGATTGAATAGTTGAATTTTATATTTGTGCCACGTTAATTATAAGTGAGCCCTACTTATGCCACATAAGTCAAATTTACGTTTAACAAATACACATGAACATACCAAAGTGAAACGAATATTGAGTTTTAGAGAGTAAAATGACGATTTTTAAATTTCAATGAGCAAAATGAGATTGAAACCGAGTTCCGAAAAACGTATATAAAAAGCCTTCTATAAATATAGTTGTTAATCCACATTAGCATATTTGATTGTTTTTTAACGGAAATAACCAAAGCAAAGTAATGCAACGTGAATTTTGTACTCCAAAAAATAAAATGACGATTTTTAAATTTCGAATGACATGGTAAAGGATAGCGTAGCTAAAAATAAATATTATTCTTTTGTTGGGAAATGTGAAGCGTTTGACGATTGCAGATAAAGAACAAAAACTTCGACGAAGTGTGACAGACATCCCGGGATATTATTCGGGCCGGGTGGGTGAGGATTTCTTATTCCAACTCTTGTTTTTTGTGTTTGATTTTTTGGGTTAGTGGGTCCATCATTCTTAGCCCAATAACTTTTTGAGCCTTTTAGTTGGCTTTTACTCTGCGGACTAACCGACTTGTGTCATGTCTTTCTTCTTCACCAGTGATTTACTTAAAAAATTTAATAAAGTCTCAACCATTCATCCATGAAAGGGAAAGGAAAAAATAAAAAAAAACTGTTCAGGCGGGAAAACTTAATAATGAGTATATCAAAATAAGGCGGTGATGTCGGAAATTGTTAATTATGGATCTTATGATTGCGGTATTTGGCAAAAGGGTATCCAATGTAGTTACGAAATCTTAAATTTACACTTTGTTATCGTCATATCAAAATAAATGATATCCGTTACGTTTCTTGGATACTTATTTTTTATTATTTTAGTAGAATGATAACAATGGTAAGTTAATTAAATAGTTAATTGTTAGGAATGAGAAAAATCGTGAAGATAGAACTAATACCAGAGTGCTTGTTTGCAGGTTTTTGAATATGTAGGGATATCGTAATTTAAAAAACCACTATTCCTATTCCCATACTTGTGTTTTTTTGGATCGAATTTGGTTAAAATTATTAATAGAAGCAATTCACACTCCAATCTTAATTTTTCACATCACTAATTAAAATATTAAACCTTGGAAATTTTAGCTATTCTTGTTTTGACATTCTAGGCCTTTATTAGTTGTCAATGCGACAAATGCAGGCTTAATTTTATTATTAAGCAATCAATTTACACTCTAGCTAATTTTTCGATGTCAATCATATTACTAACTCGAGGGAAATAATGAATGAAAATAGAAACATATTAGGTGTGTGATTGACAATTCAAACCATGTAAATACACAGAAATATAAACCTAATTTAGACTAGCTGTAGGGATGAAAAAGACATTTGACAGTAATACCGATATGGAAGGCTCTCATTACAACCACATCCCAGATTTCATGTTAGCCATACAAAGCCCAGACACTCAATCTCCCGTACAAATTTCCCTATGATAGTCACACGCCATTTTTCTCCTTCTGCAACTTTTTGTTTATTTCCATCCGTTTATTGTGGTTCAATATATTCAATCCAAAACAAGAACGTGCAAGAGGGAAAAAAAAGGTGCGTTGAAATCACAGTAATGTTATGAACTAGGGTTTCTTGTAACTTCACTGCTAATATACCTCCTCAATGGCAACTCTGTTGAGCTTGCACCATCTCCATCTGTCCTCCTTTTCATAAACCATGATGAAAAACAACCACTCGGCTTCCCAACGGCGTCGGAGTCTTCATCGGGTGAAGATCGCAGATGACGATTCTTCGCTCGCCGGAGACAGGGAAACACGAGAAGGCAGAAAATGAAGGCAGCAAACAGAAGAATCACAACCACCATCATGACCTCTCCATGCAAGGCGTAGTGCCTGTCGAGCAAGAAGCGAATCCCGTCTTGGTCTTGTGGAGAAGAAGCCGTAGGAGCCACGGCAGGTGCCCATGCTGCTGCTTCTGTCACCGTCCTCATCTCTGAATGTCTAATCTCTCTTGCTAAGTTATTGCGACTGTAACGAAATAAATTGGAGCATAACTGTACGGTCATGCGTATGCTGTTACCAATTCACATATAATATAAGGAAAATATTTGACAATATTACAGTCACACGTTGGAATTTTTCGAGAATTCTCTGACAATTTATGGCCATAATTAACAAATTTCTAATCATAATTAGAGTGAACTATTTATTTATTTTATCCCTCTCGGTAATTATTTGACAATTTTATGGTTGCACTTGTACATAAAAATTTCTAGTTACATTTAGTGGGAACTATTTTCTTCTTGTTGAATACAACGATATATATTTACACTAAATGATAGACTGAGATGCACAATAAATCAACTATAATTTTTTTATTGAATCTACCATATTCATAGTCAATCTAAAGATTTTATTTAGTAAAGAATATTATTAGACCGTAGTACTAAGAAAACAATTGTAAATTATTTTTTGGCTTATTTTTAGTTATGCTCCCTGGAACTCAATTTCGATCGCAATTGCCCCATGAAATTCAAAAGTTGCCACTTTACTCCTTGAAACTCAATAGTCGCCGTACTTTTGCTTGTTTTTGTGTATTCCGTTAAATTACCATTAAGTTTAGGCTTATTTTCTAGCAATGCTCATTAGAACTTGATTTTGATCTCATCTTGCCCTCTTAAACTCAAAAGTCGTTACGTTACTCTTTGAAACCCAAAATTCGCTCCACATTACCTTGTTTATGTTTTTTAGAACAAGTTCATCCATTAAAAATTTGTAATTAGTAAAATGCCAAATTTCCCTCTGAAAAAATGAATAGTAAAAGAGAAAAAAAAAGACCCACAATCTCTCTTCACCAGTCACAATCATTAAGAACATAAGAACGCTGAAATCAATTGAACTAATGACAAGGTGGCTGGAGATGGAGGGAAAAAGGATGAATGTTTGGACAAAGAGGGGTCGGGAAGAGATGGAACCCAAGAATTGTGTTTGCTATTTTTCTTTTCCTTTTTTATTTTTATTTTTATTTTTTATAAATATGTTATATAACGTTTGAAAATTAAATTTTCTATTGTATTTTTTGTTTTAATCTATGTGGCAACATTTAGTCGGATATGTAAGCTTTATACTTATGCCACATCAGCCATAAGTGGCTCTGATTATGCGACATAATTAAACTTAATGGTTATTTAACTAAATACACAGAAACAAACTAAAATGGAGTGAATATTGAGTTTCAGAGAGTAAAGTGATGCTTTTTGAGTTTTAAGAAGCAAGTGGGATCAAAATACAGTTTCAGGAGCGTAGCTAAGAATAAGCATTCTAAAAATGTATTTTTTAATTCATATCAATATATTTGACTACTTTTGGATGGAAATAACATAAAGGGTTAATCTCAGTTTACTATCCTTAAGTTTCGTGGTTTTCAACATTTGGTACATGAAGTTTTTTTCGTCCGAGAGGCATAACTAAAATGTTAATTTTGAGACAGTCTCATACATCTGTTAGTCTGGCTGTTAAGTCTCCGATTAGCTGATGACATGATGTCCACGTGGACAATAACTGGACGCCATAAGTCATTAAGGGGTCCATGTGGAAATTAAAAATTCAAAAAAAAAAAAAAAAAAAATCTCGCCCAAATTTTGGGACTATCTATCCCGCCACTTACCCACCCTAACCTCCCCCTTCCCTGATACCCATCCCGCCACCAAGCTTATTCCCCATCCCGAAAACCCAGGCCTTTCCCCTCTCCAAAAGAACCTTAAAGGAGGAAGCATCAATGAAGCACAGATGGAGAAAAAAAATGATTTTTCTCCAAAACCCAGATGGAAAATTCAACGATTTTCAATACCAAAAGAGAAAATCACAAAAGGGACAAAAAAACAAGGTTTTTTTTTTCTTAATCTTCAAATGGAGAAAAAAGGTTTTTTTTTTTGTTTTTTTTTTCTAATTTTTTCTTAGTGCCAAGAATTTTGAACATGACCGACGAGTGAGCATTGTAACCCCCGAACCGTACGACATTGAATTGGAGTGCCCATGACTTGGAGTCATGGATCGGGACTCGGGTCCACCTCCCAAGTTGTAGAACGAGGAGGCTGAGGGCAAGAGCGCGAAATCATCTGACCGTTGATCAACGAAGAAGATGAAGAGGTCGAGGAATAGGTCCACTTGTCGGGCTCGACGTAGACGGAGTCGAGGTGGGAGTTGAGGAGGAAGGAGCACTGGGGAAGGAGGGGTGAGACCGGGGCCAAGTGAGGAGGGGGAGGGGCTTGGATTTGGAGGGTCCGGATTTGGGCGATGGTGGTGAGGAAGGCAATAGTGTTTGGAATTTTTTTTCAAATTTTGTAATATTAGGGTTTGGGATTTTTTTTTAATATTCTTTTATTTTTAAATTTTTTTTGAATTTTAAATTTTTACGTGGACCCCTTAGTGACACGTGCCGTCCAGTCATTGTTCACATAGGCACAACGTCATCAATTGACGGGAGACTTAATAGTCAGACTAACAGATGTATAAAATTGTCCCAAAATTAACACTTTAGGTATGACTCTAGGACCAAAAAAATTTTATGTACCAAATGTTGAAAACCACAAAACTTAAGAGTAGTAAACTGAGATTAATCCTAACATAAATAAAACAATAAGAAACAAATTTTGAGTCTAAAAAAATAAAATGACAACTTTTAAATTTCAAATAACGGAATAAAAGAGAGGGTAACTAAAAATAAAGCTCCTCCATAAGCAAAGGGGAATGTTGAAAACATCTTATTAGAAAGTTTTGAAGCGGCTTGCGGCCTTGGTTTTTTGTTTGGAAGTGTGTAGTGTTTGACGATTGCACATTAGAACGAAAACCTTGAGGAAGTGTAACAACCATTCCGGGACATTCGGCCCAGGTGGGCCAGGATTTCTTATTCCCAACAGTTGTTTTTTATGTTGGATTTTATGGGTTAGTGGGTCCACCAATTCTTAGCCCAATAACTTTCTTCTAGTTGGCGTTTACTCTGTCGGACTCGATCTACTTTGTCATGTCTTTTTTCTTCACCAGTGATTTAGTTAATGTAATTAAATCTCAACCGTTCATCTATGAAAAAAAAATCGGTGCGGGTGAGCAAAACTTAATACAACTATATATCAAAATAAGGCCCTGATGTCGGAAATTGGTAGTTATCAATCTTATGATTGCGGTATATGGCAAAGGGGTATCCAATGTATGTTACGAATCTTAAATTTACACTTTTATTGTGATATCTAAATAAATGATACCAATTAAATCTCCTGGATACTCGTTTTCTATTTTTTCAGTAGAATGATAGCAGTAGTGAGTTAATTAAATAGTTAATTGTTAGGAATGAGAAAAATCATGAAAATCGAACTAATACCAGAATACTTGTTTGCAGGTTTTTGAATATATAAGGAAATTGTAATTAGAAAAACCACTTTTCCTATTCTTATACTTTGGATTTTTTTGGATGGAATTTAGTTAAAATTATTAATAGAAGCAATTCACACTCCAATCTAATTTTTCACATTACTACTTAAAAAATTAAACCTTGGAAATTCAAGTTACTCTCATTTTAACATTCTAGGCCTTTATTAGTTGTCAATGTGACATATGCAAGCTTACTTTTATGATTGGGCAATCAATTCACACTCTAGCTAATTTTTTTGTTTTCTCGACGGATTTTGATTTGACATAAAGTTTAACTCACAAAACATGTCAAGTTTGTAGCTGATGTAGTTAAAAATAAGTTTTTGCATTTGAGATTTTATTTTTCATACCTCGCCTCCCTTAATGTGGCTTGTTGAACAAGAAAATCTTAATCCAAAAAAATTGAATTGGGTAGACAATGAAATTTATGAAACGAAATTAATTGGCAGTTGGGTGGATAATCATCATGGCTTGAGTTTGTTAGCTAGTATTGTGAATAACTAATGACTAATTTGGAAATATTTTTAAATTGGCTGAAAATATTTTTGATACTAATTCTTATCAAAAATGTAAGTGAATCACAGAAATGCATTTTTCTAAAATTACTTTTAGTCATTTTAAAAACTCTTTAAGACGAACCCTAAAAGGTTATGTTTTGTTAGAAGTTAGGTCAGGCACGTAAATTTGTGCATTATTTTGTCAGGCTATAAACAATAATCCGTTGTCGTCCAGCGGTTAGGATATCTGGCTTTCACCCAGGAGACCCGGGTTCGATTCCCGGCAACGGAACTTTTTGCATTTTCGTATTATTTTTTCTCTTTTGGCCAGATGGCACGCAGTGATTGGTGAAAGTTAATTTCTTCGGGACCAGATGGCATGGTATTATACGATGGAGTCAATAAGAGAAATAAATACGTCGCAGTGGATAACTCCCCGATCTCCTTCCCAAAACTCAATTCCATCGAATTTGGTATCAGTCACTCCCTTCCCCTTCAGTGTCAGAGCAGCTTCCGATCACTTCCCTCTCTCGCTCCTTAACAATCAGTAAGTCTCTCTCTCTCTCTCTCTCTCTCAAACGCAGCGTATTACTACTTAGTTCTATCAATTCCAATTCCATGGAGTTATATCAAGATTTGCTTTTGCAAAAACGATTTATTGTTTTGGTTGGTGATGATTTTTGATAAATTTTCTGTATTTTGGGTAGGCTTATAAAACCAATTTAGCTCCGCCATGTCGGTTCCAAACGAAGGAAATGATATGTCCTCTTCTTCCGATGCTCAGGTATTTCCCCTTTAGCATTTAAAGCAACTCCCTTTTGCTTCTTTTTGTGTTTGGGTTTCGCGGTTTCGGACCCGGAAGAAGTTGAAGGCTTTTGAACATTTGGCTTGAATTTGTTTGAGAAATGGGTTGGAAAATTTTTGTGGGTTTTGAGTTGTTAAGGGTTTAGATGAATTGAGACGGAGACGTGGGTTAGGCCAGTTGGTTACGGCATTGTGTCTCCCCTTTGCAGCCTAGTTCGTATCCTCGGGGTCGTAAATTAGAGTAGTTTAGAATAGTGTCTTGTTAATAGAAAAATGAAAATAAAAAAATGCAATGCGATGCATTTTGTCCATGTGTAGATGATTTCACAGTTATCTGTTCTTGACCTTTTAGAATCACACATTACTAGGACTAAGGATTTTAATGGCTAATTGGTTCTGCACTAGTAAGTTGTTGATCTCTTGCTTTGGTTTGGTGATCACATCTTTTTGAGAAAGAGAAAATGCCCATGATTCAAGGGTTGTCTTCTGCCGGTTACCAAATTCTTTGTCAAATTGCAGCAAATTCATGGAACTAAGGATATGAGTTTGGTTATCATAGTGGAAGAAAATGGTGAATTTTACGTTTTCAATAAGTATTTAGATACGGGATGTTTGAAGGCCAATCCCTCTAGTGTTGTCATAATTTTCTACTTCAAAGCAGTATAGGGCTTTTCTTTTTGTTGACGAATGTTCTTGTGTAGGGAATGCCTAGAATAAAGATTCTTAAATTTTTTCTTGGTCTTAAAGTTTGAAGGATTTCACATGCGCATATAGAAATCAGTTGACAATATAATTTCATAGTTTGATGGTTGTGGTTGCAGCTGTCATCTCATGTTTTTGGGGATCTCCTCGATTCGATCATTGTTGATGTTGCATCTGAGTGTCATCGAATAGCGAAGTTGGGTCTTGATCGTAATTTTGAAGAAGAGGAAGAAGAACTAAGGTTGTCAGCCCAAGCACGGGTGAGGGTAGCTGATCCTAGTAATAGTGGTGAAGCAAATAGCAAGTACGTGGTTGACATATTTGGGCAGAATCATCCTTCCGTAGCCAGCGAAGTGTTTGAGTGCATGAACTGTGGTCGGTCTATCGTGGCTGGGAGGTTTGCTCCTCATCTGGAGAAGTGTATGGGAAAGGTAATTGTCCGTCATCTTTTCAGATAGTAGACATTTCCCCAGTTTTTATCTGTGACATCCTTGAACGAGAGACTAATAGATATTGTGGATTTGTTGCTCCACCACAGGGTAGAAAGGCTCGCCTCAAGGTGACAAGAAGTAGCACGGCTGCGCAGACTCGGAATTCTCGGGGAAACTCTGCTTCCACATACTCCACATATTCAAATTCCAACAGCACAAGCCGGTTATCAAATGGAGCATCCGGTGTTGCTGGTGAGGAGTACTCAAATGGTGCATTGGAAGAGCCATGAAACAGTTTAAGCACCGGTGAGCTCCCCAAGTTACTTGGATGCAATGGATCTTGCATACTTGCTTAGTTCGTGATGTTTGTGGAAAGTGATGCCCGATTTTGAATAGCAGTCTGTTGGTTTACTATATGACTGGAGGAATTATGTGATGACATTCTTTTTCCCAGTACAAAGAATAGTGCCTTGTATAAAACGTTCTTAACCGCATCTTGAATGATAATTCTAAATCTCATAGAAGTTAATTCTGTCTTCAAATTAAATCTAATTGTTTGCTCAATATAAGCTATCAAATCATGTATACAAACACGAGAACAATCCTGAATTGAAGGGATTAATTGCTGAATTCAGGAGGTACCGAAAACTTACTGATTTTCCATTCCGTTAATGACTCATGTTTAGACTCGGGAGTGGAATGCGTGGTGCAATACAACATCAAGCTCTCAGTCTCCAACCACAGCTTTTCCATTAGGACCAGCCACAGTACGTTTTCGTTTTAACTACAGTTTCTACATTAATAGTCTCCTATTTCCTTCTCTAGCAAGTATTCAGTCTGTTCAATTTTTTAAGAGCAGATCAATAATATAACATTGTGTCGTTTAGCTCAAAGCCGCGAGAACTTCCAAAAACACGTTGAGTAACTATGAAACTGGCACTGAGCTGTGGTACTTTTTTTTTCTTTGTTCTGGGTTTAATCCCGCGTGTTCTTCTCGAGAAAGATTTTAACGAGGTCACTCTTTCTCAACCGCTGCAGCTTGTATCTTAATTAAGTTTGTCTCTTGGTAAAAAAATAAAATAAAAAACAATTGTTGTTCATGTGTATTGTACAAGTTATGTGTCACTGGATGGCATCCCCATGTGAGCACAAAGAAAGTTTCAACAGTTGTCCCCAGTTACAGTTGTCCCCAGTTGACTTTTTAAAGTTTCAAAAGTTGTCCTCCCCAGTTGTCCCCCGTTGACCTTTTAAACTTTCAAAAGTTATTGTTGTTCATGACTATTCGAAGGTTGATTACAAGAGATTACAAATTGGGATGCATATATATTTACAATCTCAAAAGCCTTTCATTCTTCATTGAGCGATTAGCAAACTTGGCAACCAAGAAAAAAATGGCTGCCGCTTTGATTGGACAGGCTTTTATCTCCGCTTCCATCCAGGTGCTGTGTGAGCGCATTGCTTCAACCGACTTCGGTGACTTGTTCCGGCAGAAGAAGCTGGATGAACCACTCCTCATGAAACTGAAGATGACGCTGCTCACCCTTTGTGCAGTCCTCAATGATGCGGAAGAGAAGCAAATTTCAAACCCTGCTGTGAGAGAATGGCTTGACGAGCTCAAGCACGCTGTCTTTGACGCGGAGGACTTACTGGATGAGATCGATACTGAAGCTTTGCGATGCAAGGTGGAAGGTGAAGGTCAAACCGAGATATTCACCAAAAAGGTGTGGAACTTCTTCTCTACTTCTCGTAGTCATTTTTATCAAAGCATGAATGTTGAGATACAAGGGTTATTACAAAGGCTGGATGACTTTGTGCAACAGAAAGTTGCCCTTGGTCTTACAGAAGTTGTTGGGAGGAAGGTTTCACAAAGAACTCCAACAACTTCCTTGATTCATGAACCTTTTGTATATGGAAGAGACAAGGATAAAGAAAATTTATCAAAAGTCTTGTTCTCTGATGATGCAACCGAGGATAATGTATCTATCATCACCATTGTTGGTATGGGTGGGGTTGGCAAGACGACCCTTGCTAGAGTCCTTTACAATGATGACAAGGTGAAAAAGCACTTTACCCTTAAATCTTGGGCATGTGTTTCAGAAGATTATGATGCTATTAGGGTGACTAAAACTCTTCTCGAGTCAGTCACTTCAACACCTTGTAATATGACAGATTTGAATTTGCTTCAAGTTGAACTTAGAGAACAACTGAGGGGAAAGAAATTCTTATTTGTGTTGGATGATCTTTGGAATGAGAAATATTTTGATTGGAAGTGTCTGCAAACTCCTTTTACTTCCGGGGCAAGAGGAAGTAAAGTCATCGTGACAACACGAAGCGAAAATGTCGCATCTCTCATGAAAAATGTTCCCATTCAATACTTGGAACCTTTGTCGCATGAAGATTGTTGGATGTTACTTGCAAAACATGCATTTGGAAATGAAAACCACAATGCACATCCAACTTTGGAAGAACTTGGCAAGAAAATTGCACGCAAGTGCAAAGGTTTGCCTTTAGCAGCAGAAACACTTGGGGGTTTATTACGTTACCAGAGAGACTTTGAGGAATGGAATATATTATTAAATAGTAGTCTTTGGGAGCTACCTTATGATAAAAGTGATATCCTTCCAGCCCTGCGGTTGAGCTATCATTATCTCCCTTCTCAGTTGAAACGATGCTTTGTTTATTGTTCATTTTTTCCAGAAGGTTATCAACTCAAGAAGGAAGATATGGTTCTACTTTGGATGGCAGAAGGTTTAATTCTACAAGGTTTGAATGGGAAAAGAATGGAAGAGATGGCTAGAAAGTACTTCGATGAACTAGTATCACGATCACTGCTTCAAAAATCAGGAGGGCGTGGTTTCACAATGCATGATCTTCTTAACGACTTGGGTCAGTTCATGTCTAGGGGATTTTTTCTCAAGCTGGAAGAGATGGAATCGCAAGAAGTTAAAAGACTCCGTCATTTGTCATATGCTAGGGGAGAAATTGATGCTGCTAAAAAATTTGAGCCATTAAATGGGGCCAAGTGTCTGCGGACCTTCCTACCGACCTCCTTTGAAACAGATCGCTGGTCTAAAAAGTTCTACATAAGTAAAAAGTTTCTACATGATTTGTTGCCAGCACTGAAATGTTTATGGGTTTTATCATTGTCGCGTTATAGAAATGTCAATGAATTACCTGATTCTATTGGTAATCTCATTCACTTGCGCTTTCTAGATCTCTCTCATACTGCAATTGAAAGCTTACCTAGTGCAGTTTGCACTCTCTACAATTTGCAGACACTACTATTGTCAAATTGTTACGCTCTCATTGAACTGCCGGCAGACATGAGAAAATTGATAAATTTACGGACATTAACGTTGGCAGATTGTTGCTCCCTTGCCAAATTACCTGTAGACATGAGGGAACTTACTAGTTTGCATTACCTCGATGTCAATGGGACAAAGATAGAAGAGATGCCAGTGGAAATTGGAAGACTAAAAAGTTTGAGAACATTAACTGCTTTCGTTGTGGGGAAATCTACCGGGTCAAGTATTGCAGAACTAAAGGAGTTGCCGCATCTCCGGGGAAAACTTTCAATTTTGAATCTGCAAAATGTAGTTGATGTCATGCATGCCTTGGAAGCCAATTTGAAGGTTAAGAAAGAACTCAAGGGCTTAGAGTTGGCATGGGGTGATGGGGACGCCGATGATTCCCAAAAGGCGAGAGATGTGCTTGACAAGCTCCAACCTTGCATAAATTTGGAGAAACTGACTATCAGATTCTATGGAGGAACCAGCTTCCCAAACTGGTTAGGAAACTCTAATTCATTCTCGAACATACAGTTCATGTGTATCAGTGATTGTAGGTATTGTTTGTCCTTGCCAAGTTTTGGGCAGCTACCCACTCTTAAAGAGCTATGTATCATAAGGGTGGAATTCGTTAGGACGATTGGTTATGAGTTCTATGGTGATTGTAATGGAGCTTCTGTAATTCAGCCCTTTCAGTCTCTGAAGACGCTAAAGTTTGAGGAGATGCCAGAGTGGGAGGATTGGCTGCCGAGTCCAAGTGGAGGTCAATGTTCAGACTTTCCGTGTCTCCAGGAGATGAGAATAAGGAATTGTCCGAAGCTGAGAGGATACTTGCCTAATCGTCTTCCCTGCTTGAAAACACTTAGGGTGTCTGGGTGTGAATTTCTACAGCTGCATGATGAATGGGCCACTACCAGCAGCAGCAGCAGCAGTAGTCTTAACATGGACTACTTACAGAATTCATTGGAAATACATATTAATGGATGCCCCGGTCTGTTACCGTTAATAGAGAGAGTAGAGAAGAAGTTCTTGTCCACACTCGGCATTTTTAATTTTGTTGCAATACAGTGCTTGCCCAAAATGCAATATCTTGAACGCTTGACTCTCAGCAATTGCCCAACCGTGTCTTCATTGGAGTTCCTATCACATGAGGTGATGGCCGAATTGACATCACTTGAGTATTTGGATATAGAAAAGAGTTTTCATTCAGTGAGGTCGTTCCCGTTGGGCGTTTTCCCCAAACTTTCAACTCTTGTAATCAATGGTTGTGAGAATCTGGAATCCTTTTCTATTGAAGGAGTTGATCAAAACCTAAGCCATCTCAACCACCTGCGAATCTACGACTGTCCAAATCTGGAGTCTTTTCCCAACGGAGGACTGCCCACTCCCAACTTGAGACACTTGCAAGTCAATGGATGCAAGAATTTGAAGTCATTCCCCGAACGAATTCGCACCCTCACCGCCCTTGGAACGTTGGCCTTATACAATCTTCCAAATCTTGTGTCATTTGCCCAAGGGGGTTTGCCTCCCAACCTGCAATATTTGTATGTTAGAAACTGCGACAGAGTGAGGCCTTCAGTGGAGTGGGGATTGCAAGGACTTGTCTCGCTTAGAGAAGTTAGCATCGGTGGCGAGATCTGGGCAATGTTGCTCAAGGAACAGCTGCTCCCTACTACTCTTAACTCTGTCCGCATCGCTGGACTATCAAGTCTGAAATCGTTGGACGGAAAAGGACTTCGACACCTCACTTCTCTTCAAAAGCTATCTATTTATGGGTGCCCAAGTCTGGAATTCCTTCCAGCAGAGGGACTTCAACACCTCACTTCTCTTCAACAGGTATCCATTTCTCGGTGTCCAAATCTTCAGTTCCTGCCAGAAGACAGTTTGCCACCATCTCTTTCTTTCCTGGAGATCTACTCTTGTTCCACCCTGGAGAAAAGGTATGAGAAAAGGACCGGAGAACATTGGGCCAAGATATCTCACATTCCTTGCATACAGATAAATGACGAAGTCATCATATGAGCTCTCTCATACAAAGTTGTGCTTTTCAGCATTTCACTCTCAGGTATTTTGCATCTAATTAACTTCAATAGTTTTAAAAATAAAAGACGTAATAGAAATAAGAATCATAGCATATTGATCAAATGTTTCGTTGCAGCATGGAAGACACATCATCCCTACATCTTCAACATTTTCGGATGGTATGGAGAGGATCAATCCAACATAGTAAGCATCAAAGGTGCAACATTTATAGGTACTCTTTCGTAACCGAATAATGTATTAACGTTTCAGAAATAACAAATTTTGCAATTTGTTTCTCATCTCTCCCATTTTCTTTGTTGAATCTTGTTTGCTCTGAATTATTCTTTAGCCTTATCCCTGGCATCACTTATAGAACATATATTACTTTGGCAACTGACATTTTTTGATCAAGAAGTTTTGGAATATGTTTTATTCCTGGACTTAAGGGAAAAATGATGCTGTTATATATTAACGTCTCTGCATCCGTACTCCGGTTTCGGATTCATTAATTTCTTATTGAAAGCATGCATGTTTCTTATATCAAAAATGATAAAAACCATCCATACTGCTTATTTTGGTCTGCAGAAGCATATTTGGCATGATGATGATCCTCTAAAGGAAGATGATGGAACCCCGGGATGATATAGTTCTTTGTCAAGCGGGCATGGTTTGAATACGGTGGCATGTTATCTCGTCTTCTTTCAATGCCATTATCATCTTCAAGTTGGTCTATCTATGTTTTTATTTACGAGTGCGAACTGGTAATAGATCTTTAGTGGATTACTGCATATTACATTCTCTCTTATCATCATTCTTCGCACAAGAATTGAGAATATATACCTTAGATAATTGATGATTCGAATTTGAATATAACTTCGGAAATATATATTCATACATACGATAGGTGCAAGTTATTTCTTCGGGACCAGACGGCATGCTATGACAGGTTGAAGTCAATAAACAGAAATAAACACGGCGCAGTGGATCACTCTCCGTTCTTCCCAAAATCCCAATTCCATCGATTTGGTATCACTCCCTCCTCCCTACCTTCAGTCTCAGAGCAGCTTTCGATCACTTCCCTCTCTCCCTCCTTAACAATCAGTAAGTCCCTCTCTCTCTTTCTCTCTCTCAAACACAGCGTTTTACTACGTGGTTCAATCAATCCCAATTCCATGGATTTATATCAAGATTTGGTTTTGCAAATACGGTTTCTTCTTTTGGTTGGTGATGAGAATTTTGATAAGTTTTCTGTATTTTGGATAGGTTCATAAAACCAATTTAGCTCCGCCAAGTCGCTTCCAATTGAAGAAATGATATGTCCTCTTCTTCCGATGCTCGGGGTATTTCCACTTTCACATTTAAGGCAACTCCCTTTTGCTTCTTTTTGCGTTTGGGTTTCGCTCGGTTTCGGACCTGGAATAAGTTGAAGGATTTTGAACTTTTGGTTTGAATTTGTTTGAGAAATGGGTTGGAAAATTTTTGTGGGTTTTGAGATGCTATGGGTTTAGATCCATTGAGATGGAGACGTGGGTTAAGCTAGTTGGTTACAAACTTACAACATTGTGCCTCCTCTTTGCAACCTAGTTCGTATCCTCCACTTTGTAAATTAAAGTAGTTTAGAATAATGTCTTGTCAATAGAAAATTAAAATAAAAAATTGCAAGGAGATGCATTTTGTCCATATGGATATGATTTCACATTTATCTGTTCTTGACCTTTTGGAATCACACATTACCAGGTCTAATGACTTTAACGGTAAGTGATTCTGTACTAGTAAGTTGTAGACATCTTGCTTTGTCATAACTTGTCGGCTTGTGGTTGCAGCTTTCATCTCATGTTTTAGGGATCTCCTCGATTCGATCATTGTTGATGTTGCATCTGAGTGTCATCGAATAGCGAAGGGTCTTGATCGTAATTTTGAAGAAGAGGAAGAAGAACTAAGGTTGTCAGCCCAAGCACGGGTGAGGGTAGCTGATCCTAGTAATAGTGGTGAAGCAAATAGCAAGTACGTGGTTGACATATTTGGGTAGAATCATCCTTCTGTAACCAGCGAAGTGTTTGAGTGCATGAATTGTGGTCGGTCTATCGTGGCTGGGAGGTTTGCTCCTCATCTGGAGAAGTGTATGGGAAAGGTAATTATCCGTCATCTTTTCATATAGTAGACATTTCCCCAGCTTTTATTTGTGAAGTCCTTAAACGAGAGACTAATAGACATTGTGATTTGTTCCTCGACCACAGGGTAGAAAGGCTCGCCTTAAGGTGACAAGAAGTAGCACTGCTGCACAAACTCGGAATTCTCGAGGAAACCCTGCTTCCACATACTCTACATATTCATGTTCTAACAGCAGAAGCCGGTTATCAAATTAAGCATCGGGTGTTGCTGGGGAGGAGTACTCGAACGATGCATTGGAAGAGCCATGAAACAGTTGAAGCACTGGTGAGCTCCCCAAGTTACTTGGATGCAATGGATCTTGCATACTTGCTTAGTTCGTGATATTTTGTGGAAAGTGATGCCCGATTTTGAATAGCAGTATGTTGGTTTAGTATATGACCGGAGGAATTATGTGGTGACATTTTTTTTTCCAGTATGAAGAATAGTGCCTTGTATACAACATTCTTGACCACATCTTGGATGATAATTCCAAATCTCAAAAAAGTTGATTATGTCTCAAATTGAATGTAATTGTTTGCTCTATATAAGGTATCAAAAATATGAAAACAAACACTAGAAAGATACCGAATAGAAGGGATTAATTGCTGAATTAATTAGTTATCGGCAACTTACTCATTCTCCATTTTGTGAATGATAACATTGTGTTGTTTAGCTTAAAGCCTTGAGAACTGCCATTAATATCTGTTACTTTTTGTTTTGTTTTTGACTAGATTTCCAATAACACATTATTTTTTTGGTAACATGCAATAACACATTATTGAGTAACTACGATATTGGCACTGAGTTGTGGTACTTTTTTTTCGTTCGGGATTTAATCCCTATTCTCGTTAAGCAAGGTTTTAACGAAGTCACTCTTTCGTAACCATCACAGCTTGTATCTTAATTAAGTTGGTTTCATGATAAAAAATAAAATAAAATAAAAAACAATTGTTGTTCATGTGTATTGTACAAGTTATGTGTCACTGGACCCCATGTAAGCACAAAGAAAATTTCAAAAGTTGTCCCCAAAAACCTTTAGGGTGAGTTTGTTTGGCTTCCTTAACTCTCACTGGATTAGATTGGACTATAGCCCAGTGTTTGTTAGATATTGGGATTATGTTTAATGAGGCTAAAGGGGACTTGTGTGGACTAACAGGCTCGCTAGAAGTTCTTAGCGAGAGCCCTCGAAAAGGAGGGGACTAGCTATGACCTCTTCCTTCTCTACTCTCTTCCGTCTCTTCCTCCTCCAACAAGACCTATATAATTGCACCACCTCCGATCGTCGTGGGCACAGATCGCCGCCGATGGTCTCTGTGCTAACCCGATCATGGGATTTTTGTGAACCCAGTGGTGGGTGAGGAACACAATGGCCGTTGAAACCCAAATCACAGAATCGTTGTGAACCTAGTGGTGGGTGAGGAACATGACAACGATGAAGGAATATTGGAGGCCAAAACGTCAGCGCCCGCGATGGCGACAAAAACGGCAAAGGTCTTGGATTGGGACGACATCAGCTTGGGATCGCGGGTGATAAAGATGGGGTAAGCAACCTAAGACACCAAATTGTGGAATTGGTTTTGATTTAATCTCAAATTGTGGAATTTAAAATTGTCGGGAGTTGATTTCGATTTGATCTGTAATTGCGGGGAGTTGGTTTTGATCTGATATGCAATTGTAGGAAGTTGGTTTTGATTTGATCTCAAAGCGTGGAATTGGGTTTCGAAGAAGAGGAAGAGTTTTCAGGAAGAAAAAAAAAAGATAAAAAAAATGAGAGAATTAAGAATAAAATATTATTAGAGATGTAGAGAAATTAATATAATATTAGAATGTATTAATTATCCTACTTGTTAGTCCGACACTGCACCAAACGCTTACTAAGTTAGTCTAGCTTAGTCTTGTCTAAACCAGTCCAACTTAGTCCCTAAAGCTGGTCCAGTTCGAAATAGTTCGGTGCAATAAACGCACTAGCTAAGGAATATTCAAAGGTTGATTAAAAGATATTGATCAAAGACTAATTACAGTCTTGAGCTGGAAAGTGGGAACCGAAAGCCTTAAAGGATAATAAAGATTTCGGTATTGTTTGGGATATTGCCGATCAATGAGATATGGGAATCGATTCCACTTTTTACGGACCAATCCCAAGTTTTCTTTTGGTCAATTGACCAATCACAAGTTCATTACAAATTGGGATGCATCCGTACCAATACAAGAGTTTTTATAACAATAGTCTTTGAAATTGACCCATTCTTTAAGTGGTTTCTGAAAATCGAGAATTGTAGTTCTTGAAAATGGTTATTGCAAATTAATGTCATCTTTCTGTTATAATATCGTTAAAAATTTTATTATGTGTTAATGTGTCACATAAGTGAGTCAGCAAAACTAATTAAAAATTAGCATATAAATTAAAAATATATAAATAATAAAAAAATAATTTTTTATTCTCCCGTTGTCTTCCTCCCGCAACCTTGGCTGCCATGGCAGCCCTGCCCACTCCAAGCAGAAGCAAAAAAATCCCATAGGTGTGAAGGGTTTTGCCGAAAACTTCTGCTACTCGTCGGAAATATTGGTGTGGGGCCGTCAATCTAGGCCTCGGGTGCAGAGTTGATCGGAGGATACGGTGGGTTTCAGCGGAAATGGAGAAGATGTTTTGGTTCGACTGGGTATTTTATCGTGGTAATTCGATTGGGTTGTAAGGTGGCGCCGATTATGTTTGAATGGGTTGAGTGCCAAAATCGAGCCATGGTGGGGTGGGTAGGGTAGGGGCTGCCATGGCAGCCAAGCCTGCTCGACGAAGACGATAGGAGAAAATTTATTTTAATTTTAATTTTGAAGTTAAAAACTTATTTTTATTATAAAATTATAATTATATAATAATATTTAATTAGACTTATATGATCCATTTATGTGTGACACATCAGTATATAACATAATTTTTAACGAAATTGTAACGGAATAACCACATTAATTCACAACAACCATTTTCAAGGATTTACATTGATTGATTTTCAATTTTAGAAATCATCTTGATGAAGTTAGTTAATTTCATAGATTATTTATAATAGAATGAAAATTAACATTAAATTGTAATATGATATTAAATCCATGAAAAATTTTCAATTTTAAAAATCTTCTAAACATTTATCTTCTCTTTTTATTATCTGATAATTTCACATGTTCTGATTTAACAAGTGAGTGTCACTACCACCATTTAGCATTGTCATGTGATACTATAGTGCCACAGCCACTCACCCAAAAAAGAGAGCGCCATGTTTTTCATGACAAGCACCAGCTGGAAACCATTAAGCAGCGCCTTGCTGTTTGTGTAAATTAAAAAAAATTAATGGCCGCATGATTTGAATCAACGGCCACGATGTTGTGGTACAGGCTACCCATACAAAGATCCAGATCTGGATCCATGGGATGACTTTTGGACCAAAAGACTAATTACAGACCAATCACAAGTTCTTTTTTGGTCAACTGACAAGTAAAAAGTTGATTACGAATTGGGATGCATCGAATTCTTTTTACGAGGATTTTAAGAATTTTTTAATTATACTTGTTTATTGTATATTATGTATTTAGTTTTCGTTAGGTATTATTTATATTTTATTTTAAATAAAAAAATTTATAATAATATTTAACCGCACGATTTGCATCTACTTTGAAACAACGGCCACGATGTTGTCTTCCGCAGGCTAATCCATAGAAAGATCCGGATCTGGATCCATGGGACAACTTTTGAACCAAAAGACTAATTACAGACGCAAGTTCTTTTTTGGTCAACAGACCAATCACAAGTTTTTTATGATGAATTTTAATTTTAAGAATCATCTTGATAGAGTGGATCAATTTCATTAATTATTTGTAATAACACAAAATTAATATTAAATTGTAAGATGATAGAAAGTTCTTTGAAAGTTTCAATTTTAAAGAATCTTTTAAACATTTAGAATCTGTTTAATACTCTATTTCAATCCAACTTGTTTAATTAAAAAAGAATTTTTAAGTTTAGTTTTTGAAAACTTATTTGGTAGGATTATTTTAAAAAACTGAAGTAAAACTAACTCAAAAATAGAGTCTATTATTTAAAAACATAAAAAATGAATTTTTAGAGTTTTTAAACTTAAACTCATTAATTTCTTTTATCTTCCTCCTCGCCACTCACTCCAAATCTCTCTTTTTTTTCTTCTTTCTCTCTCCTATTTTATATAACATTTTTTGTTTCTGTTCCAATATGCTATCTTCATTCATTCGGTTATTTTTTTCACTTCTCTTTATCTCGTCCGATCCTCTTTTGCTTTCTTTCCTCTTTCTTCCTCTCATGCGACCCTCTATTTTTAGATTTTTTTGTCTACTTTAAGTCGTAAGTCGTAAGATTTAAAATTTTTAAATCACAAACCAATCAAGTTTTTTAATTTAAAAAAAAAATTCAAGAAAAATTCATATGAAATACCAAATATGCCCTTACCTTCTCTTTTTATTATCTCACAATTTCATATATTCTGATTTGACTAGTGAGTACCACCATTTACCATTGCCATGTGATACTACAGTGCCACTCTCGCAGAAAAGAGAGCACCTCGTTTTTCACGAGAAGCACCAGCTGGAAACCATTAAGCAGCGCCTCGCTGTTTGTGTAAATTAAAAAATTTAATGGCCGCACGATTTGCATCCATTTTGAATCAACAGCCACGATGTTGTTGTCCGCAGGTTACCCATAAAAAGATCCAGATCTGGATCCATGGGACAACTTTTGAACCAAAAGACTAATTACCGACCAATCACAAGTTCTTTTATGGTCAACAGACCAATCACAGTTCTCTTTTGGTCAACAGACCAATCACAAGTTCATTACGAAAGTACTCCACGTTCTAAATTTGTCTTTTGATACAAAATAAAATGAAAAACAGTTGTTGTCCATGTGCACCGTAACGAACCCGGTTTCTCTGCCCTTCCATTTTTTATACATTTTCATTCCGATTAAACTACGTTAATATTTTATATTGATTTTTTTTATAAAAACAATAAAATAAAAAATAATAATAATAAAAAATATTGATATAACTTAATGGTAACTATACAACTAAAAAGAAGTATGTGTGTATGAGAAGTTAAAGGACAGAAAAGACAGGTCCGAAGAAGAATTAGGAGACTTAGAGACTGTCATTAGCACGAAAACGTACTGTGGTCCTTTATTTTATAGAAAAGTGGCACTGTAGTATCACGTGACAAATAACACTAATCAATATTTTTTTTTATTAATATTTCATTAACTATTGATAAATACGAAGCTTCTCTCTCCTCTGCGTTTACTGGAAAATGACGTGACAATCCCACCTCTTCTTTGAAAATTGTAATTATATATGCACGTAATGAACCTGTGATTGGTCACATAACAGAAAAAGAAGCTTGTGATTGGCCTGTAAATAGTCCTCTGCTTTCACTTCAAAGCTCGTTTGGGGACAACTTTTGAAACTTTCTATGTGCTCACATGGCCATGCCGTCCAGCGACAGCGACACATATCTTGTACAGGGATCTGGCTTCTCTACCCTTCCATTTTTTATACACTTTCATTCATTTCTATTTGTACGGTCACGATTAAATCACATTAATATTTTATATTATTATAATTTTTTATTTTATTACTTTTATAAAAATATTAATATAAAATATTAACGTGACCTAATCTCCATCGTATAAAATAAAAAAGAATGAGAATGTATAAGAAACGGGAGAAAGCCGGGTCCTTCTTTCTATAGCAAGTATTCCGTCTGTTCATTTTTTCCAAGAGCAGATCAATAATATAACATTATGTCGTCTTAAGCTCAAACCTTGAGAACTTCCATTAATTAGGTTTATATCAATAACATAACATTGTGTCGTTTGGAAATTTATTTTTTCATTTATCAAACACAATTTTAACTTCAACTTTTATAAAAAGCTAAAATTAGAAACATGAAACGTGTTTGATAAAGAAAAAAAATACTTATTTAAAAAACTGTTATCAATTATAGTAGAAAAAAATGTTTATTTAACAAATTTAAATCCAATATTTTTTTTATCAAACGATATTATTTACACTAAGGAGAGGGATTAGCTTAGCATCACAATGGGTTAGCAATAATATGGTTCAAATTCGCATTCCTGGAGAATTGAACCTAAGACGTTTTACTTACAAGTGAAGAAAAATACCATTAGATCTAGTAATAAGTGACAAATTCAATGGTGTTGATCAGAACATTAAAAGCAGCAATCAGGTAAAAAGCAACAAATTCAAGGTTACGAGTTTACGTTTTCTACTCAAGGTTTTGTCTTTATACAGTTTATATATTTAGGAATTCAGTTTCCAATCCATTAAATATTCATTTTATCTTTGTGTTTATTTATTCTTATTCTATATTGTGCTTATTTCTACTTAAGATGCTCTAAATTTGTCTCTTGATACAAAATAAAATAAAAATCAGTTGTTGTCCATGTGCACTGTACAAGTTATGTGTCGCTGTCGCTGGACGGCGTCCCCATGTGAGCACGTAGAAATTTTCAAAAGTTTGTCCCCAAACGAGCTTTTGCAGTGAAAGCAGAGGACTCATTACACGCCCATCACAAGCTTCATTTTCTGTTAAGTGACCAATCATAGGTTCATTACGTGCATGTATAATTGCAATTTTAAAAGAAGAGGTGGGATTGTCACGTCATTTTCCAGTAAACGACGAGGAGAGGGAAGCTTCGTAGGCAATTTCCCCAGAAAAGAGAGGGTCTCGTTTTTTTTGTGAAATAAATTAAAAAAAATTATTGGCCGCACGATTTGCTTCCGCTGTGAATCAACGACAAGGATGTTGTGGGCCGCAGGCTCCACACAGAAAGTTCTGGATGGCAAGTTCATTCTTGGTCAATTGAGCAATCACAAGGTCAATGCAAACTGGGGGATGCATCATAATAACAGTCTCAAAAGCCTTTCATAGTACATTGAGCTATTAGCGGACTTAGCAACCAAGAGAAAACCAAGAGAAAAATGGCTGGCGCTTTGATTGGAGAGGCTTTTCTCTCCGCTTCCATCGAGGTGCTGTGTGACAGAATTGCTTCAACCGAGTTTGTTGACTTGTTCCGGCAGAATAAGCTGGACGAAACCCTACTCGAGAAACTGAAGGTGACGCTGCCCGCCCTTTCTGCAGTCCTCAATGATGCAGAAGAGAAGCAAATTTCAAACCGTGCTGTGAGAAAATGGCTTGACGAGCTCAAGCATGCTGTCTTGGACGCGGAGGACTTGCTGGATGAGATCGACACTGAAGCTCTGCGACGCAAGGTGGAAGGTGAAGGTCAAACCGAGAAATTAACCGACAAGGTGTGGAACTTCTTCTCTACTTCTCCTACTCAAAGCATGAATGTTGAGATACAAAAGTTATTGCAAAGGCTGGATGGCTTTGTGCAACAGAAGGTTGCCCTTGGTCTGACGGGAGATGTTGCGAGGAAGTTTTCACAAAGAACTCCAACAACTTCCTTGATTCATGAACCTTTTGTATATGGAAGAGACGAAGATAAAGAAAATTTATCAAAAGTCTTGTTCTCTGATGATGCGAGCGAGGATGATGTATCTATCCTCACCATTGTTGGTATGGGCGGGGTTGGCAAGACGACCCTTGCTCGAGCCCTTTACAACGATGATAAGGTGAACGAGCACTTTACCCTTAGATCTTGGGCATGTGTTTCAGAAGATTATGATGCTATTAGGGTGACTAAAACTCTTCTCGAGTCGGTCACTTCAAAACCTTGTAACATGACAGATTTGAATTTGCTTCAAGTTGAACTTAGAGAACAACTGAGAGGAAAGAAATTCTTATTTGTGTTGGATGACCTTTGGAATGACAACTATTGTGAATTGAAGCGCTTGCAAGCTCCTTTTACTTCCGGGGCAAGGGGAAGTAAAGTCATCGTGACAACACGAAGCGGAAAGGTGGCATCTCACATGAATAATGTTCCCATTCAACAATTGGAGCCTTTGTCGCACGAAGATTGTTGGATGTTACTTGCAAACCATGCATTTGGAAACAAAAACCACAATGCACATCCAACTTTGGAAGAAATTGGCAAGAAAATTGCACGCAAGTGCAATGGGTTGCCTTTAGCAGCAGAAACACTCGGGGGTCTATTACGTCAGAGAGACTTCAAGGAATGGAACATATTATTAAATAGTAGTCTTTGGGAGCTACCTTGTGATGAAAGTGGTATCCTTCCAGCCCTACGGTTGAGCTATCATTATCTCCCTGCTCAGTTGAAACGATGCTTTGTGTATTGTTCACTATTTCCAAAAGACTATCAGTTCAAGAAGGAAGATATGGTTCTACTTTGGATGGCAGAAGGTTTAATTCCGCAAGGTTTTAACGGACAAAGAATGGAAGACACGGCTAGAAGTTACTTTGATGAACTAGTATCACGATCACTACTTCAAAAATCAGGGGAGGATGGTTTTACAATGCATGATCTTCTTAACGACTTGGGTCAGTTCATGTCTAGGGGATTTTTTCTCAGGTTGGAAGAGAGGGAATCACAAGAAGTTAAAAGACTTCGTCATTTGTCATATGCTAGGGGAGAATTTGATGCTGCTAAAAAATTTGAGCCATTAAATGGGGCTAAGTGTCTGCGGACCTTCCTACCTATCTCAATACATGACTGGTTTGAACGTTTCTACATAAGTAAAAAGTTTCTACATGATTTGTTGTCATCCATGAAACGTTTACGGGTTTTATCATTGTCCCGTTATAAAAATGTTGCTGAAGTACCTGATTCTGTGGGCAATCTCATTCACCTGCGCTACCTGGATCTCTCCAAGACGGAAATTGTAAAGTTACCTGGTGCAGTTTGCACTCTCTACAATTTGCAGACGTTACTGCTGTCAGATTGTCATAATCTCATTGAACTGCCAGCAGACATGAGAAAATTGATAAATTTACGGACGTTAACGTTGACAGGTTGCCGTCGCCTTACTAAATTACCAGCAGATATGAGGGAATTGAGTAGTTTGCATTACCTCGATGTCAGTGGAACAGAGATAGAAGGGATGCCAGTGGAAATTGGAAGACTAAAGAGTTTGAGAACATTAACTGCCTTTGTTGTGGGGAAATCTACCGGATCTAGCATTGGAGAATTAAGGGAGTTGCAGCATCTTCAAGGAAGACTTCGTATTTCAAATCTGCAAAATGTAGTTGATGTTGTGGATGCTTTGGAAGCCAATTTGAAGAATAAGAAAGAACTCAATGACTTAGAGTTGGCATGGGGTGATGAGGAAGCCGATGATTCCCAAAAGGAGAGAGATGTGCTTGACAAGCTCCAACCTTCTGCAAATTTGGAGAAACTGACTATCAGATTCTATGGAGGAACCAGCTTCCCAAACTGGTTAGGAAGCTCTAATTCCTTCTCGAACATACAGTTCATGTGTATCAGTAATTGTAAGTATTGTTTGTCCTTGCCAAGTTTTGGGCAGCTGCCCACTCTTAAAGAGCTTCGTGTCAAAAGAATGAAATTTGTTAGGACGGTTGGTGTTGAATTCTATGGTGATCTTAATGGAGCTTCTGTAATTCAGCCCTTTCGGTCTCTGAAGACGCTGGAGTTTGAGGAGATGCCAGAGTGGGAAGAGTGGGAGAATTGGCGACCGAGTCCAAGTGGAGCTTCTGTACTTCAGCCCTTTCCTTGTCTCCAGGTGCTGAGCATAAGCAATTGTCCGAAGCTGAGAGGATACTTGCCCAATCGTCTTCCATGCTTGAAAACACTTTGGGTGTTTGGGTGTGGATATCTACGTCTGCATGATGAATGGGCCAGTAGTAGTAGTAGTGGTCTTAACATGGACTACTTACAGAATTCATTGGAAATAGGTATTGGAGGATGCCCAGGTCTGTTACCATTAATAGAGAGAGTAGAGAAGAAGTTCTTGTCCACACTTCACATTTATAATTTTGATGCAATACAGTGCCTGCCCAAAATGAAATATCTTCGAAGATTGAGTCTCTACTATTGCCCAACCGTGTCGTCATTAGAGTTCTTATCTCATGAGATGATGGCCGAATTGACATCACTTGAGTATTTGGAGATCTGGAATAGTTTTCATTCAGTGAGGTCCTTCCCGTTGGGCGTTTTCCCCAAACTTTCAACTCTTCATATCCATGGCTGTGAGAATCTGGAATCCTTTTCTATTGAAGGAGTTGATCACAACCTAAGCCACCTCAACTCCCTGCGAATCGAGGGCTGTCCAAATCTGGCGTCTTTCCCGGACGGAGGATTGCCCACTCCCAACTTGAGACAATTGCAAGTCTGGGGATGCGAGAATTTGAAGTCGTTCCCCGAACGAATTCGCACCCTCACCGCCCTTGAACGATTGTATTTATACGATCTTCCAAATCTGGTATCATTTGCCCAAGGGGGTTTGCCTCCCAACCTGCAATATTTGGATATTGTCGGTTGCGACAAAGTGAAGCCTTCAGTGGAGTGGGGATTACAAGGACTTGTCTCCCTTAAAAAATTTGAAATTGTTGGCGAGATCTGTGCACAGCTCCTGCTCCCTACTACTCTTAACGGTCTCCACATCCGTGGACTATCAAGTCTGAAATCGGTGGTGGTCGTAAAAGTACTTCGACACCTTGCTTCTCTTCAATTTCTATCTATTGAAGGTTGCCCAAGTCTGGAATTCCTGCCCCGAGAGGGACTTCAACACCTCACTTCTCTTCGAGATCTAAATATTGTTTATTGCCCAAGTCTGGAATTCCTTCCAGCAGAGGGACTTCTACACCTCACGTCTCTTCAAAAGCTACGAATTTATGGGTGTCCAAAACTCCAATTCCTGCCAGAAAACGGTTTGCCGCCCTCTCTTTCTTACCTGGAGATCTTCTCTTGTTCCACCCTGGAGAAAAGGTACGAGGATAAGAAAGGAGAAGATTGGGCCAAGATATCTCACATTCCTTGCATACGGATAAACGACGAAGTGATCATATGAGCTCTGTCTCTCTCATACAAAGTTGTGGCATTTCACTCTCAGGTATTTTGCATCTAATTAACTTGAATAGTTTGAAAAATAAAAGACATAACAGAAATAAGAATCATAGCATATTGATCAAATATATCTTTGCAGGAAGGAAGACACATTATCGCTACATCTTTAACATTTTCGGATGGTATGAAGAGGATCAATCCAGCATAGTAAGCAGCAAAAGTGCAACATGTATAGGTGCTCTTTCATAACCGAATAATGTATTAACATTTCAGAAATTACAAAATTTTGCAATTTGTTTCTCATCTCTCCCATTTTCTTTGTCCAAGTATTGTTTGCTCTTATTTAATCTCTAGCCTTATCCCTGGCGTCACTTATAGAATATATACTAGTTCGAAAACTCACAATTTTTTGACCAAGAACTTTTGGAATATGTTTATTCCTGGACTTTAGGGAAAAATCAATTGACAATATAGTTTCATACTTCCTTTCTTTGCTGTCTTGTGGTTGCAGCATTCAGTTAATATGTTTTGAGGATCTTCTCAGTTCCATTGTTGTTGATGTTGAATCTGGAGTGTCACCGAAGAGCATACAACATATACATTATATCCTATTGAGATATCGTTTCCAGAATATTACTCGCACTTTGTAAAATGTTGCTCATCATCTTTCATCCGTATTGTTGATCTCAGAGAAGATTGTCACAGATATACATTGTTCGGAATATTTGTCATCACCGCAGTCATTGACAAAGGCAACCCCATTGTCGGAATATGTATATATTCACATGCATTATTATTTTTCTTTCAAATATAATTGTGTTACTAGGTGTGAAGAATTAATATTTTTGGCATGTAAGTTACTTTATGAGGTATTTTGACTACAAAAGTTTATATATTCTCGCAATTAACTAGTATTTGAGATGCTTTTTATTTTGAACATGAGAGTAATTTGATTGAAGTTGGTTGATATTTACTATCAAAGAATAGGTGGCACATTTGCAATCATTAGGACTCAAGCCTAGCTAGATCTTCCCCACCAAATCCTAAGGATCCGGAAATTCAGATTCTTGAAATTTGATCCAATAGTTACAATTATTATCATTTTAGAAGGGCCTCTCTTTTTGTAACATTTGGATTAAATTTCAACGGTCCGGATCTTCAAATCCTTAGGATTTGGTGAGGTGAGATCCGGCTGGGATCTCTGTCCCTCAAGCCATATGTGATTACTCACCGCTCTAAAATAAGGAGGTGGAAGTCTTCATATAGAGGTGGCTGGTATAGGACTTGTTGGTGCCTTACTATTTGAACATCTGGATGCTTACGTTCAAGCTTTTACTCGCAAAGCTAGAACATGACATCATTCAAGCTACACGTAGATAGATCCTCCGTGAAGCACAAGCAATTCCAATCATCCCCTTTACAGGAAAGAACATGCAGAAAAGAAGACACCAGCAAGAGGAAGAAGTTCCCTCCTCCTCGGACCACTCCTTCACAATCCATATCTTTTAGATTATGTAAAGGCTTTCAATCCATCTCCAATGTATTTTGTAAATCTTCTTATGTAGTGAAATACTAATACAAACACAAGGTAGTGGACGTAGCTAATTTGGTGAGCCACTTAAATTCTGTGTATGTTTTTGTTATTACAAGAATCATGCATGAATCACCATCAAAAGAGAAACAAAACTATTTATTGTAATTCGGTTATTTAGAATCATTAACCAATTTGTTTTGTGACTAATTGTTTGTCTTCCATTACAATAAAAGCTATTTGTAGGAAATATTATGATATCCAACACTTTAATTTTACGGAAAAAAAGGTGCAAAGAAAAAGCATTTAAATTATGTATTTTGTATCTTTAACACATCCTTCATGTTGGTAATGAAATTTCATTTCCTTTAAAAAAACTTCTATTTTTTCTCTCAATTATCTTATTAAAACAATATCTATTATAGAAATTTCAATTCAATATGACTATTTATTAAAATTAAAAATAAAATTATAAGCCTAGTTTATTTAAAAAGGTGATTTTTGGACTCCCATTTTATATTCACACAATACCATCTATTATTAGATTTGTTTGAATTGAATTAGATTAAACAAAATCATCATAGTATAGAAAATCACTACTATTAATTAAATATATAAGACGGAAAAAAAAACATAAATTTGGACACATTTGAGTGAGTTTTTTTTTTTTTTTTTTTTTGGTAAATTGTTATTATTATTGTTGGTGGAAATATGGCATAGAAAAAAACACCTTTGTCACCGATGGGCCACACCCTGTCAAGACATGTACACAATGGGCTCAAATTGAGATAGCAGCTGTGTGGACAGAGGTTGACCAACTACCATTCAAAAGACCCACACCACAAGCCCATGACTCAACTTCAGATTTAATCAAACTTTGAATATTGCTGGGAATGGGAATTTTTTTTTTTTTTTTTTTGTTTGTTTGTTTGTTATAAGACATACTTTTGGCCACGATATTGTAGTCCACAGGCTTCCAATAAAAATATCCAGACTGGATCCATGGGACAACTTTTGAACCAATCACAAGTGCTTTTTTGGTCAACTGACCAATCAAAAGTTCATTACGAATTGGGATGCATCAATAATTGCAATCTCAAAAGCGTTTACTTCTACATTGAGCTACTAGCAAACTAAGCAACCAAAGATAAAAAATGGCTGCCGCTTTTATTGGAGAGGCTTTTATCTCCGCTTCCATCCAGGTGTTGTGTGACAGAATTGCTTCAACCGAGTTCGCTGACTTGTTCTGGCACAAGAAGCTGGATGAACCACTCCTCGTGAAACTGAAGACGACGTTGCTCACCCTCTATGCGGTGCTCAACGATGCGGAAGAGAAGCAAATTTCAAACCCTGCTGTGAGAGACTGGTTGGACGAGCTCAAGCATGCTATCTTCGACGCGGAGGACTTACTTGATGAGATCGACACTGAAGCTTTGCGATGCAAGGTGGAAGGTGAAGGTCAAGCCGAGAAATTAACCAAAAAGGTGTGGAACTTCTTCACTTCTCCTAGTCATTTTTATCAAAACATGAATGTTGAGATACAAGGGTTATTACAAAGGCTGGATGACTTTGTGCAACAAAAAGTTGCCCTTGGTCTTACAGAAGTTGTTGGGAGGAAGGTTTCACAAAGAACTCCAACAACTTCCTTGATTCATGAACCCTTTGTATATGGAAGAGACGAAGATAAAGAAAACTTATCAAAAGTCTTGTTCTCTGATGATGCAAGCGAGGATGATGTATCTATCATCACCATTGTTGGTATGGGCGGGGTTGGCAAGACGACCCTTGCTCGAGTGCTTTATAATGATGATAAGGTGAAAGAGCACTTTACCCTTAGATCTTGGGCTTGTGTTTCAGAAGATTATGATGCTATTAAGGTGACTAAAACTCTTCTCGAGTCGGTCACTTCAAAACCTTCTAAAATGACAAATTTGAATTCGCTTCAAGTCGAACTTAGAGAACAACTGAGGGGAAAGAAATTCTTATTTGTGTTGGATGACCTTTGGAGTGAGAAATATTCTGATTGGAGGTGCCTACAAACTCCTTTTACTTCCGGAGCAAGGGGAAGTAAAGTCATCGTGACAACACGAAGTGCAAATGTCGCATCTCTCATGAAAAATGTGCCAATTCAACACTTAGAACCTTTGTCACATGAAGATTGTTGGATGTTACTTGCAAAACATGCGTTTGAAAATGAAAACCACAATGCACATCCAACTTTGGAGGAAATTGGCAAGAAAATTGCAAGCAAGTGTAATGGTTTGCCATTAGCAGCAGAGACACTCGGGGGTCTATTACGTTGCCAGGAAGACTTCAAGGAATGGAATAAATTATTAAATAGTAGCCTTTGGGAGCTACCTTATGAAAAAAGTGATATCCTTCCAGCCCTACGATTGAGCTATCATTATCTCCCTGCTCAGTTGAAACGATGCTTTTGTTATTGTTCACTATTTCCAAAAGACTATTTGTTCAAGAATGAAGATGTAGTTCTCCTTTGGATGGCGGAAGGTTTAATTCCACATGATTTTAACGGGCAAAGAATGGAAGAGACGGCTAAAAGTTACTTCGATGAGCTGGTATCACGATCACTACTTCAAAAAGCAGGGGAGCATGGTTTCACAATGCATGATCTTCTTAACGACTTGGGTCAGTTCATGTCTAGGGGATTTTTTCTCAGGTTGGAAGAGAGGGAATCACAAGAAGTTAAAAGACTTCGTCATTTGTCATATGCTAGGGGAGAAATTGACGCTGCTAAAAAATTTGAGCCTTTGAATGGGGCTAAGTGTCTGCGGACCTTCCTACCTACCTCTTTTGAAGCATATGGGAATGGGATGATCTACATAAGTCAAAAGTTTCAACAAGATTTGTTGCCATCCCTGAAACGTTTACGAGTTTTATCATTGTCCCATTATGAAAATGTTGCTGAAGTACCTGATTCTGCGGGCAATCTCATTCACCTGCGCTACCTGGATCTCTCCCATACGGCAATTGTAAGTTTACCTGGTGCAGTTTGTACTCTCTACAATTTGCAGACGTTATTGCTGTCATATTGTTACGCTCTCATTGAACTGCCACCAGACACGAGAAGATTGATAAATTTATGGACATTAACGTTGGCAGGTTGCAGCTCCCTTACTAAATTACCTGTAGATATGAGGGAATTGAGTAGTTTGCAATATCTCGATGTCAGTAAAACAAACATACAAGGGATGCCAGTGGAAATTGGAAGACTAAAAAGTTTGAGAACATTAACTGCTTTTATTGTGGGGAAATCTACCGGGTCTAGCATTGGAGAATTAAGGGAGTTGCAGTATCTTCAAGGAAGACTTCATATTTCAAATCTGCACAATGTAGTTCACGTTGTGGATGCATTGGAAGCCAATTTGAAGGATAAGAAAGAACTAAAGGACTTAGAGTTGGAATGGGGTAAGGAGGACGCCGACGATTCCCAAAAGGAGAGAGATGTGCTTGACAAGCTCCAACCTTGCATAAATCTGGAGAAACTGACTATCAGATTCTATGGAGGAACCAGCTTCCCAAGCTGGTTAGGAAGCTCTAATTCCTTCTATAACATACAGTTCATGTGGAACAGTGATTGTAAGTATTGTTTGTCCTTGCCAAGTTTTGGGCAGCTGCCCACTCTTAAAGAGCTACATGTCGAAAGAATGAAATTTGTTAGGACGGTTGGTGTTGAATTCTATGGTGATCTTAATGGAGCTTCTGTAATTCAGCCCTTTCGGTCTCTGAAGACGCTAGAGTTCAAGGAGATGCCGGAGTGGGAGGATTGGCTACCGAGTCCAAGTGGAGGTCAATGTTCAGGCTTTCCTTGTCTCCAGGTGCTGAGAATAAGTTATTGTAAGAAGCTGAGAGGATACTTGCCCAATCGTCTTCCATGCTTGAAAACACTTAGCGTGTTTGGGTGTGGATATCTACATCTGCATGATGAATGGGCCAGTAGTAGTAGTAGTCTTAACATGGACTACTTACAGAATTCATTGGAAATAGATATTGATGGATGCCCAGGTCTGTTACCATTAATAGAGAGAGTAGAGAAGTTGTCCACACTTGGAATTTCTAATTTTGATGCAAAATTTTGGAGCCTGCCCAAAATGAAATATCTTCGAAGATTGACTTTCAGCTTTTGCCCAACCGCGTGGTCATTAGAGTTCTTATCTCATGAGATGATGGCCGAATTGACATCACTTGAGGATTTGAAGATATACGATAGTTTTCATTCAGTGAGGTCCTTCCCGTTGGGCGTTTTCCCCAAACTTTCAACTCTTTTAATCCATGGCTGTGAGAATCTGGAATCCTTTTCTATTGAAGGAGTTGATCAGAACCTAAGCCATCTCATTCAGCTAGAAATCAACGACTGTCCAAATCTGGCGTCTTTCCCGGACGGAGGATTGCCCACTCCCAACTTGAGAGAATTGAAGGTCTGGAGATGCAAGAATTTGAAGTCGTTCCCCAAACAAATTCGCACCCTCACCGCCCTTGAACGATTGGAATTATTCGATCTTCCAAATCTTGTATCATTTGCCCAAGGGGGTTTGCCTTCCAACCTCCGATATTTTACAATAGATTGCGACAAAGTGAAGCCTTCAGTGGAGTGGGGATTACAAGGACTTGTCTCCCTTCAAGAATTTACAATTGCTGGCGAGATCTCGGCACCGTTGCTCAAGGAACAGCTGCTCCCTACTTCTCTTCACCGGCTAACTATACATAATTGCCGAAGTCTGGAATTCCTGCCTGCAGAGGGACTTCAACACCTCACTTCTCTTCAAAATCTAACTATTACTTTTTGCCCAAGTCTGGAATTCCTTCCAGCAGAGGGACTTCTACACCTCACTTCTCTTCAAAAGCTACGAATTCGTAGGTGTCCAAAGCTCCAATTCCTGCCAGAAAACGGTTTGCCGCCCTCTCTTTCTTACCTGGTGATCTCCTCTTGTTCCACCCTGGAGAAAAGGTATGAGGATAAGACGGGAGAAGATTGGGCCAAGATATCTCACATTCCTTGCATACAGATAAACAACGAAGTCATCATATGAGCTCTGTCTCTCTCATACGAAGTTGTGCTTTTCGGCATTTCACATTCCTTGCTTCTAATTAACTTCAATAGTTTGAAAAATAAAAGACATAATAGAAATAAGAATCATAGCATATTAATCAATTTTTTATTTGCAGCAAAGAAGACACATTATCCCCACATCTTCAACATTTTCGGATGGTATGATGAGGATCAATCCAGCATATATAGTAAGCATCAAAATTGTAACATGTATAGGTACTCTTTCGTAACTGAATAATGTATCAACGTTTCGGAAATTACAAATTTTGCAATTTGTTTCTCATCTCTCCCATTTGCTTTGTCAAGTCTTGTAAAATATGTCCAATGCAACAAAAACACAATTGACTTTCAAACTACAGAAATAAATGATAAAAACCACATACTTGCACCCAATGCATTGTTTTTTTGCAATATAAGAAAAAAACAGATAACATTCCCCTGAAACCAAATTCATCCCCCAATTTCTTGCAACAAATTTCAGTAATTACGAACGCAACTAAATCTTAAATAAATAGAGTTGTTCAATTATATTAAACTACATATAGGGAGGGTGAAAGAGAAAAAGAGAGAAAAGAGAGACCTGGATACCTCCAGCGTGTACTGAAAGATGCCAAATTCTATCACCAAGGAGAACAAACATTTTCAAATGCTTAGGCTTGGGTAGCATGTCTGAGCATCTGTGCCAACTCACACACACACACACACACATAATGTCTGAGCATCTGTGCCAACAAACACACACACACACACACACACACACACACAATGTCTGAGCATCTGTGCCAACACACACGACACACACACACACACACGCACACACACCCACCCTAAAAGTTAGAGTGTAAAATCTATGCTACAATAAACAACTAAGCATGAGCAGGACCTCGTAAAAAGTAGGTGATCATATGTGTTTTTCAACTTTCTGTCAAACCTACAATCAACGAAAGTGATCCAGCGTGAAAAACATGGTTAACCACCAGGTACTGAAGCTATATATAATCATTGAAGAAAAACCTTTTACATCCAGCACAAAACAAACTATAATCGAAATTTCGACAAACCAAAATTACATGCAGATAGATAAATAGAAAAGAAAAAAAGAGTCAAATTTTTTTTTATGTTCAGCAATGGGACCATTAGAGATTGTGTAGAAACAATGCAGTAAACACCACCAGAGAATGGGGATAAACAGAATAGTAATACACACATACCTATCAGGATAGTAAAACAAAAACAACTAAACATGTAAATTCAAAGGTCACTCCGAACATGCTAAAAGTAAAAACTAAATTGCATAGCGATTGGCATTAATAAAAGCCCTGAATTCTTGGTTCACTCCGCTAAATTGGTAGGAGCTTTTGCTTAATCCATCAGAACCTTAAAAGAAAACCTGTAATAGTATGATACATGATGAAGATCTGGTAAGTTTATTAGACATTGTTTCAAATACAAATTGAGACTCGTGGGAAAAATAGAGAAAGAATCAAATATCATATTATATTCTTACAATACTCTGAGATGGTATGAAGTCCCCTCATCTAATTTTATGACAAATGGGTGAGACTCGTTAAAGAAAGTCAATAATGGGTAGAATGTTTAAATCGATCGGATGAAAGATGTGATAACGTTGTAGTTATTTTATCAGGAGGCGTAAACCATGAATCAAGAGGATTATAGACCAGGGATTTCAAATATTTCAAGGGGTGATATCCACACACCCCATTTTACTTCTCACACACCTTTTTAATTTTTGGCCGTTGGATCGGATGAATTGAAGAAGATCAACAGACAGAAATTATCAAAGGATGTGTGAGAAGTAAAATGAGGTGTGTGGATAGCACACCCCATTAATTATAAGAAAACTTGTTAGCAATACTGAGAAAAAGCTTATTATTGTTGATAAAAATGCACACGACACCAAGGGATCATGCCATAAAAATTACACCATGAAAAATCCAGAGACCAAAATCCCCGCCGGCAGAATTTATTCACATCAAAGGACGCACAATCTTGGTTTAAAAAGCCAATCAAATTTAAATTCTAACACCATACGATCAAATGTTAATCAAACACACAATCTCAAAAAGCCGAAACCATGTTAAGCAAAAGAAACAAAAGGAAAAAGGTGAAGATGTAAGCATTGATAAGAATATGAAAAGTTGCAGCACTGATATCAAGCACAGATAGGACAACGAAATATCGGAACCAGCAGCAACAAATAGAACCAAGAAGGAAAAGGATTGATAAAATAAATACATAAGAAATTGGACAGAGGCACAAACCAACGGCATGAGCTCAGTTTTTTCACCATGAATTTTGCATGGCCTGAAATCAAGAAAATGACGTGTTTACCGGGATTTTGAAGTGGATGCCCGCAATCCGAATGACAGCGATCATCCCTCTTCTGATGGTCCAGAATTGACCTGGGACACTCATACGAAATCCAAAAAGGCGGCATTATCTGGAAAGAACATGTGAAGCCGTTAACAACAACGAAGTAAATATATGGTTCCATAGATGCAAACACAATAACACTATGGCATGATATTTGATTAAGATCCGTCTCTACCAGTTTGATGGCAAAAACACACACCTCTCCCATGCGGGAATGAACCTAACCATTTAACGAAAAAAAAGACGAAAACCCATGCAGGAATGAACCTAACCACACTGCATGCACTCACATACACTCACACACATCGAAGAATGAACGCATCATATTCAGTTAGCACCATTCAACTTTAAAAGCAGTGAGACCTTCTAAAGGCACAGCCTAGCTGGCCTTGGTTCAAATAACCAAATTGAGAACAATAGTTCAATTTTAGAAAAGCTGTATAGAGGGAAAATAAAAAAGGAAAAAAAAAAACAGTGAAGAGACAAAACAATCCTATAACCACAACTGAAAAACAAAATCAAAATGAACAGAATAAAATATCAGCAGAGCATGAACACTAACTAACATCCTTTGGAAACATGTGCTGGTTACATATAATATATATGCGCATAAAGTAAGAAAATGACTTGAGTGCCCTAGCAGTGGTCTTTACACTGAACCAAATCACTATTAGGTTAATTGTATTGATTCACGCATCTTCCTTTATGTGCTAAATCTCTACTAAATTGCCCTATGAAAATGACATAAAACTAATTAAATTCCCAATAAATCTGAGAAATACAACTTTTAAAAGTGTGAGAATACATGCAGCACCGGGATGTTGCAGAACTCACTGCCCCAATTTAAGATTCGGTTTTTGTCCAATGTATGTATATGCTTAGATACATCTGAGAATTTGCTTTGCAACAGTTGCTACGGTCATCATCTTTTGAGAGAGATAGATACAAAGGTAAAGATTACAATGGGGAATAGTTAAGAATCCCTCTAAAATACTAAAGAAAAACATACCTAGAACGGAGTAAACAACTGTTTGTCTCCATAGCAGTTTCTCAGAGCATTTATGCTGTCAGAAAGATAGTGCTCAACTCCAGAAGGATGGACAAATGTTAAAGTTAGTATGTGATGAAAAATTAAGGTGATGCAAAAGGGCAACACATGATGTGAAATTATTATACCAAAATATCCAAGGTCTGTTAATCTACTCCCCAATAAAATAAAACAGAAATTAAGCACAACAATATCAAAATTAAAGGGAAGGAATAATATGAAACCTTGTGCATAGAACGTTCGTGAGAATGAATCACACAACAATCAAGGGTGGACAAATCACAAAAGTGACAATTAAAGGGCACCTAACGGACACCCCCATCTCTCTCTCTCTCTCTCTCTGCAATCACAGAAATCCCTCGGGTTTGAGAAAGCAAATGGAAAATGAAATGCTTTTCCAATCCCCTACCCATACCCAAACGTCCCTTATCCATTCCCTTTACCTTCACAGAAAATCCTCGCATCTCTCTCTCTCTCACCCTTGTCCCATCTCTCTGTCTGCTAATCGCAGGAAAGAAACCCTAAACAAATCCCTGAAATCCCTTGCCTAAATCCTCCCACATTTCTCTCGGGCACCCCCTATCTCTATCTCTGCAAAACCTAAACCAGATCTCCTAAATCCTATCTCAGACAACCCATATAAAGCAAAGAAGCCAAGATATTAAAGCAATCTCTACATAATACTTTGGAACAATGGAGCAAAATGGTACTTACTTGTTCCTTGTCCAAAACTGTTGGTGCCGCCGCACATTGTTATCAATTGTGGGTTTATCAAATCCTTCATGGCTTAGACTGCATGAAGAATTAGAAACTAAAAGATGAATATACGCTGTAAATCATCATATACATGTAACTGCATTAAAAAAAAAAGAAGGGAATGAAAAAATTGAATTCTATTTCATCAGTATGTAACTGCATGAAGACATTGAATGCAGACTCAATCAATTGCCCCAAAGTCATTGTTAACTGAAATCAATACCAAACCCATAAATACCAACATTGAATTTGGCAAAACCCAAAAACGAAATACAAAAATTTACTCATATAATCACAGAAAAACATGAAATTTGAGCACCCATTTGGTCAAGTAAAAGGATAAAGGCACTCACATCATCATAGTACTCTTTGGGAAGATCTTCTAATACTGGTTCTTCCTTTTTCTTGCTCTTCCTCAGAACTGCCATAAAAAAAACCCACAGAAGCGCACAAATTCAGAAAAGAAAAGGTCCAAAACTACCATAAAAAATCCAGAAAGCATACAAATTTATCAGAAAGAAAAGTTCAAATTACAAAAACCAACTGATGTTAGTGAGTAGTGAGAGGTTGTGGTAGGCACCTGAAACACGTTTTGGTTTCAATTGAGAGGGCCAGTCCCTTGCATGCGAGGAAGATGACGATAGGATTCCAGAGACAGAGAAAGGAGGAGTAAGACGATGGAGGCAAGAGAAGGGAGACGGCGGCGCGAGGAGGATAGCAACGAGACCGTCTGTGGTGCGACACACAGTGGGTTTCACAGCTATTAATTAAAATACGCAACATGAAAGCCTGTTTGATCACACTGCCAGAGTTTCTGCTTGTCTGCAAAATTAGCAAAATTGGCACACAGGTTCACAATTCGTCATCTTCCCTTTATCAATGGCTCCTTTAAATATCCAAATGATCAAGGTCGATCTTGCTCGCAAAATACTTGATGAGCTCCTTTTGGTAATCCACCTAAACAAATAAGCACAATATCTATGTAAACTGGCATTTCACTCAATTATACATTAGTTATGGAATCTTTGGAACTAAATGACTTCAACCTTAATATCCTATAAGCAGTATGTTTCTATATTTATTCATGTTATCATCAACATCTCACAGAGCGAAGCAACACATTGGAAATGCGTATCCAATTAACAGCCCTTTCATTCGAGTAATTAAATCAATCCATAACACGGATTAGAAAAACGGGCAAATAACCAAAAAACCTGTCATTTACTTGCAAAACTCCTGCCTAACCCCAGTCTTTGCAATTAAATATAAACCAACACTTCCTCGGTGTGCTCTCTTTGTATAAAAATATACGCTATCATTTAAAACCTGAAATGTAGAATTTGATGCCAAGAACAAATCCTCAGCATCCACGCTATACAATATAGTAACTAATGAACTTACTATTGTGTTGGAAAACACAAACTCTAGCTCCAGATCCTCTTGCGCCATTGACAATGGAGTTGTGGTTCAAAGAATCACTAACAATCAAGCCTCCCTGTAAAGTCAAATGGCACATATTCAGATAAGGAATGTAAACACAAAATTAGAAGTCATACATTTGAGAAAAGATGCAAACCTTCCCCATTAGAACAGGAAGGGTAGCAGAGTTTGCGACATAACCCATTCCGAAAACTATAGCAGCAGGTTTCCCAACAAAATTTGCAACACACTCTTCCAGCTCATTATGCAAATCCGTGGTGCCTGGTGATAGAAGCGTATCATGGTAAATTCATTTAGAAAAATAGTTCAAACAAATTTTTCATGCTAAGTAGTATTAGTATACCAACCCCCATTAACTCGGCTACTACGGGTACTGGGATAATATTTTTTCAACATCTCAACAGCGCGAGGTGTGCAGTACTCATCAAATGCAGCAAAGCCAAGGTAATTGTAAGATCCCAAGTTAAGGCATCTACTGGTTTTTTTGGTTAGCTTGCATCAGCCGAGTTACACAATGAGAATACAAATCAAGAAAACATAACAAAAGGAGTAAAATATACATGAAATTGCGAAATCGGAGGAAATTTGTAATCGTTGCTTGAGTGTTATGTTGTAGTCATTGGAGTAGCGTTCAACCACATCAAACCAAGCATCAGGAGCACTTGCAATAAGCCTATTGAAACATCCTGACCAGTCAAAACTTTAAAAAATTAACCAGAGTTATCAATAATTATGTTTATGGGACTCCATGGAATTCAAGCTTAATTGCAGGGCCAGCTACATCCATTTCATACAGCTCAAGAAATATAACACAATCAAATCAATAACAAACTACCTGAATTCGAAGATAAAGCCGGCAAATATAGAAATCTTCAAAGTCCTAAACAGATTGGAGCATAACCCAGATTTTTGCAACAAAGCAATGCTTTTTTTTACTTAAAATCACAGGAAAAACTAAACAATAGAAACAAAATTACGTACAATGATTACGGAACCTGCAAATTGCTAGCACTCCACCAGTCAATGATTTTGCGGAAGAAATCTCTGACTTGGCCGAAAACGAAGAGCAATCCATAGCTGATGCACGTGGTTGACGCGGTTAAATAAGGGATCGCAATCATTTTTTCGGTGGGACGATTGTCTGATCCGAAAGCTGGAGGATTTGGGAATCATTGTCTCCGCCACATTTTCCTGCAATGAAAATAACAATTGTAACAAAAATCAGATATTTGGATCGAAGGTAAGATTCTAGCATTTTCTCCATGTCACAATCATGCAGAGCCTTCACCTCAATCGAATCAAATCCAACACCAACCCGTCACAGCTCGATGATCACTCACTGAACGCAAAAATCAACAAAATTTCACCATTTTAAATTATAATTCGTTTCATATTCTTTAAGCCACTAAAAAAGCAAAAAATTAAAATAAAATTAAAAGTGAACCTGGTGGTCGTGGGTGCCGCCGCCGATGAGGAGGTCGAAGGGATTGATTTTAGCTTTTTCGTTGAAAAGCTGGCTTTCTTCTTTTCCTTGCGAATCGGATTCTATTAAAAGTGAACCTGGTGGTCGTGGGTTCCTTCAAAACTTTGTTCAGCATTCGCCTGAGGAGAGGGGAAATGGTTTAGAGCGAGGTGTCTCCATTGCTGCTACCCTGTCCATTGAACTTGCTGCAGTTGCTTTTAAGCTTCTCTCATCTCTGCAAGTCGCATGCCTTCCCCTCACCAAACCCCTCTCTCTCTCCCTCCCCCTCCCTCCTTCCCTCTCCTCCTCTCTGCAAGCAGCATGCCTTCCCACCAAATCCCACACTGAGCCATCGATCCCACCGAATGCAACCCTAACTGACAACAATGCCCACCCAACTTTTACCCCCAACCGTGCGATGTTAACCCTAGACAGGGATTCCCGTCATTCGAACCGATGGCATCTTCGTAAAAAGCTAGAAGCATGAAAAGTGGTCCAAAACACTGTTTATATGAATAGTGCAATTTCCCCTCCTACTTTAGACTAAAGTAAAGGTACCTGGAAAACCCACAATTTTTTTACCAAGAACTTTTGGAATATGTTATATGTTAATGTCTCTGCATCCGCTTTCCGGTTTCGGATTTCATTCATTTCTTAGTGAAAGCATGCATGTTTCTTACATAAAAAAAAATTATAAAAACCATCAATACTGCTCATTTTGGTCTGCAGAAGCCTACTTACGACATGGGGGCACCAACTTACATCCACACTTTCCTCCTTCTTCATTGGCAGGCTGTCTCGTTTTCTTTATTCAGATACCAGCTTGATGCTTGCGTAGATACTTTATGCTCTTGTGGTTCTGATCATATAATCGTAGCTGACAAATGGAAAGATGTGTGCAGTTAAAGCTTTTGAGGTGTGTTTTCTGATGTTTCTTTTCGTTCCATTCTTTTTATTTATCTCCAACATAAACTTGTTGATGAGAGAGAGAAAGTGAGTGGGGAGGGAGGGGCAGAGAAAAAGAAGAAATGTTTTTAAAAGTTATGAGAATCAAAGTTGCAGACCAAGTAGCTCATGTGTATTATTGATGCATTATTCAACTGTTCTGTATTCTTTTTACCATTTCTTGGTTGCGTGAATGAGCATTGGTTATCAAGACTTGGGTAAAATTAATCCTAAGTATATGTTAATACAATGTGCCAGGACAGACTCATTTATGGCCCTTGTGGATGCAGCAGCGAGCTAATTGTGGTGTGGAACTGTAAAGTAGAATTACCCAAGGGAACAGATGCTGGCTTGCATCAATTACTGGGCCTGTCTGGCAAGAGTAAACAGCTGTGGCATGCTTTTCTAGTTTTCTTCCGATGTCCTAGTGATCTTCACGCTGGTGCAAGAGATATATCATGTAGGTAACACGTGGACGATGTTTTTTTTTTTATCATTTTGATTTCGTTTGAATATGGTGGCTTTTATGTTGGTGCGGATGAGTTTCTTTACAAACACAAATGTGTAATTCACTTATATACGTGCTGCACTGACTTATTTGGTTTGAATATGGTGGCGTCATTGCTGCAGAGTCCTTATTGTGAAACTTAGGAGGCAATTGTCTGAGGCAACAGATGTTAGCTCACATCAATTTCCTAAGCATTTTTGACATGAAGATGATGCACCTCTAAAGGAAGAGGATGGAACCCCCGGATGATATATTTCTTTGTCATACTGGCGTGGTTTGAATACAGTGGCCTGCTATCTCATTTTAGCTTCAAGTTGGTGTATCTATGCTTTTCTTTACGAATGTGAACCGGTAATAGATCTTTAGTTGGATACTGCAGATGAGCTTTAATTTACATTCTCTCTTACCATGGAACTTCTTATGCAGAGGATATGATGCTTCGTTTTAACAAATGTTAACTGAATATATGTTTCAGTTTTGTCCCTCACAATATCCTGTTTTATGTAGTTTGCATCATTTAAAAAAAAAAATTCATGTTAAAATAATTTACGAATCTTGTACTTCTTAGAGAGAATTAATTTACGAAGCAACAATAATCGGATCTATTTAAAACCGTGATAGTTAGTTTTGTTCATTCTTTATCATCAATCTGTCCATGGAATCTTACTTTCATCTCTGTATTTAGGAGTTTGTTGAGCTGATACGTAAGTAAATCAAAAGCATCCGAGATGACATTCATGTTGAATAGCTATCACAAGAAGCAGGCATTTCAAAATTTCATATGTAGTAGGAGTGGGAGAAAACAGATGGTGGTAAACCTCTTTGTATCCTTTTCCCCTGCCTCTAATTTCTGGAGGACTCTAAATGTTGATTTTTCCAGTTGGAACTGCAGTTTATTGTTACTGTATTGCTTATTTTGAACTACAGAAGCCTAACATGGGTGGCACAAACTCGCATCTGTACTTCCCTCCTTCCGCGTTGGCAGGTTGTCTCATTTTCTTTATCCCAGGACCATCTTAAAGCTTGCGTAGATACGTTATATGCTCTTGTAGATCTGGCCATAAATTCACAGCAACAATGGAAAGCTGCACATAAGTAGATCTTTTAGCAGAAGATGTGGAGGTGTGCTTTTTGACGTTTCTCTTCCTTTCGTTATTTTTCTTCATCATCAATATAACGAGAGAGGGTGGGTGGGGAGGGGTAGCGAACAAGGAAAAAAATGAAAAGTTGTGAGAATCAAACTTCATATGGTTGAATGTTCTGCATTTTGTTCTTTTTAAAAGTCCGTAAAACTAATAGACACTGTGATCTTTTCGTCCACCACAGGGTAGAAAGGCTTGCCTAAAGGTGACTAGAAGTAGCATATCTGCATAGACCAGACATTTTTACAACGCAGTACTGCTTCCACATCCTCCACTTATCCAAATTCCAACAACATAAGTCGGTCATAAAATGGAGCATCCGGTTATGCAGGCGAGGACATAGGAAGAGCCCTGAAACGATTTAAGCACTTGTGATCTGTCCAAGCTACATAGAAGAGCTACGAATTGAAAAGGACTTTGACACCTCATTTATCTTCAAGAGCTGCGAATTGAAAGCTGCCCAATTATGGAATTTCTGCCAGGAGAGGGACTACTTCAACACCGCGCTTCTCTTCAAAAGCTGTATATTTGGGGGTTTGATGGCCTCCAATGCCTTCCAGAAGAGGGTTTACCGCCATCTGTTTCTTTCCTGAAATCCACCGATGTTCTGCCCTGGAGAAAAGTTGTGAAAAGAAAGACGTATGGGAGAAGATTGAGCCAAGATATCTCGCATTCCTTGGATATGGATAGGCTGCGACCTGATCATATGAGCGCTCTATTGTTCGGAAATACTTTTGTTTTCTGACATTTCACTCTCAACTCTCAAACCGAAGTCAGGTATATTTTGCATCAAATTAACTTTCATATTTGCACAAACATAAATACAAAGAAAAATAAATAAATATAAGAAACATAGCTTGCATATTGTTCAAATACTTTGCAGATCATCGTATAAGCAGACGTTAGACTTAAAATCTGAATTATTAGTTTTAAATTCTGAATTATTAGTTTTCTTGCAGGACACAAGGGCTTCACTTGGAGAGCTTTTCGTATGCAAGCTTCCCAAATTTGCCAATCACTGCCAGAGGAGAGGAGGGTTAATTGACCACTGTTTATACATTTCATATTACAACTAGAACAATCGTCGAAGGAGGAGATCGGGAAAGGTTTAATCCGGCATAATAAGCATCAAATGCACAATATTATTAACAAAATGTATAGTTTAAAAAATTACAAGCTTTATTTACTCTTGTTTTCTTTGTTCTGAATATTTTGTATTTCATTCTTGTAGTATGATACGGTGGTTTAAGTTTTCTGTTGTAGTCTTCGAAATGTGATTCAAAACATCAAATTTTGGAATATTTCATGTATGCATTTCAAAAATCAATGGACATTACAGTTTCATACTTTCTTTCTTTGCTGGCTTGTGGTTGCAGCTTTCGGCTCATATGTTTCGAGGATCTCCTCAGTGCCATTGTTGTTGATGTCGCATCTGAGTGTCACTGAAAAGCATATACATATACATGATATCCTATTGAGACATCATTGTAAAACGTTGCTCATCATCTTCCATCCGTATTGTTGATCTCAGAGAAGATTGTCACAGATATACATTGTTTGGAATATTCATTGTCGCTTGTGTCATTGATAAAGGCAACCCCATTGTCACCCTCACTTCCAATGCTCTTTTGATGAAGCTGCAATACCAACTCAACCCCCCCTCCCTCCTCACAACATCATTCATCAATGGTCGTTCGATTCCTTTGTCATTTATGCAACTTATAGCAATCACAATGAACTTGTTCAAGCACTCAGACTTCAATCTTACCCTTCACATTTGGGTCAATGATTTGACCTAGTGTCCCATCTCGATGACAACTCTTGGTCCACTCAGTGAGGCTGATTTACCTAGCCTCCACTATATGCATCAGAGTTGGCCTCGCACACAATACTTCTCACAAAACCACCCCAAATAAGTACACGTCAGACTTCTCAGTCAGCTATTGACGTATGTAGTACTCCGGGTCTAGATACCTGAAACTACCTTTCACCATCGTGTTGATGTACATTTTGGACGTGTTGGTCGTGCCCATTTTTGACAACCTGAAATCCCATACCTTTGCCATCATTTTATCATCCAATAAAATGTTTGTGCTCCTTACATCGCGATGAATAATGGAGCTCTTGGCAGCGCTGTGAAGGTAGTGCAACCCTTGCGCTGCACCAATGCAAATTTCAAGTCGTTGTTCCCAAGGAAGAGGTTTAGGGTTACCGGTGCGATACAGATGGTCACTGAGAATGCGGCGTGCCATGTAATAGTAAACCAAGATCATCTCGCCATTATCGGAAGTAACCAATGAGTGAAACCAAATGGCGTGGCGGAGTTGGGAGAGCAGGTCGATTTTTGTCTTGAACTCTCGGGGCACCTTATCATGACTTATGTCTCAGTCGTTTGATAGCAACAGGAGTGGCACCATCGTTAATGTATGCTTTGAACACATTGCCAAACCCACCAACAACAATAATGAAAGTATTGTTGAAGTTTAGGGTGGCGGCTCTAGTCTCAGCCAGCGGAAAGTAACAACACAGATAAGACGATCAAGGACACTCGAGGGTCTCTGCTGACTTTGTTGAGTTGTTGCAATAGACGAAAGTGAGAGTGGAAAGTTTCAACCTTCTAAATTCGCTTTTGAATCTCATTTTCAATAATATTATTTTATACAAAAAAACTGACACACTTGATGATATATTTTCTAATGTAAATGATGCCTACTACTATATGTGATACTTACTTATATGCTAGAAAGTGTATGAGCAAATATGTTAACTTTATATATCTAAATAGCATCTCTCACTTATGCTAGATATGAATATAAAAATTCTTTAAAAACTTTGTAATATTGAATTAGTTGTTAGAAAAACGCTAGTCAGTTTGCATGTTTTAGTCCAACGAAAATTGATTACCAACTAATTAAACTTCTGAAGATTCCACGAATTTGACACTTGAAATTCTACGATTTTAACCATTGTTCTAAAAACATGCACAAAAAACGCATGACTATACTCTTCAAAGATCAATCAAAGACCATAAAGGGCACAAAACTTCATCCATCGAGGGAGAGGGAAAAAGAAATTCCGTTGCCGGGACTTGAACCCGGGTCTTTCGGGTGAGAGCCGAATATCCTGACCAACTAGACTACAACGGATTAGCTGACATGGTACTACGCAATAGTTAATATCAATAGATAGACCACATTCTCCTCTTTAGAAAAGTATAATATTGATGGGTGCCCTCCCCCAATTTTGTGTACAGTGATATGACCACTTAGTATTACTTTCTAGTAATATTTATTTTTATTTGTAAGTGAGATGTTTTAGATTCAATTCTCGTCAAAGGCGAATTTGAACTACAGCTAGCCGAGTGTGAGGCTTAGCTCACTTCCCCATCTCCTTAGTGTAGCTAATAAGGTATGTTTAAAAAAAATTGTAATGTCTTTCAATTCGCTATGATCAAATCTCACGAACATTGATAGAAAGGTTAATTAACCTAACCAACCTCACAATCATTGATCTCAACTTTAATCAAAGAAAAATGCCAAAGAGACCTTTTTTCGATTATATTTTGTAAATCACATGATGTGATGATTGGTTGAACGTTGGTTGAATTCCTTCTTTGAATCATCAAAAATGAGTTCAACCATCAACTGACACATCATGTAGTTACCATTTGAGAGGCTCTCCAAGTTGAAACTCATGTTTTTTGATGAACTGTACACTAGAGAGGGTGCCAACGTGTTGCTGTTGGTTTTAAAACCGTATAAAACATGTCGAAAGTTCTAAATATATAAATGATAGTCAATACTATTTACATGTGAAAATCTATTTACAATGAACAAAGGCAACAATTTCACAAATAAATTCAACTACAAATTAAAATGATAATTACATTCAAAACGAAAAACTTGGTAGTTACAATGAAGGTATCATTAAATGAGGCAAAAATATGAGCAACACCGAAAACATGCTCTCCATCACAGAGAACAGTTCCAGGAATTACATTTTCTGCCACTGTGTACCTAGGTGAGTATCGGAGAGAAGAGGAAGAAGGAAGAGAAAGAAAAAATGAAGTATTTATATTTTCTTAGACGGGCGGACATGAAATACGGAAACTAAGTAGAGGCAAAACTGAAACTACTGTGCTTATAAACAGTAAACAAGTTCATTTTGAATTTAATTTAGATTGAATTTGGGGAAGCAACAACCAAGATTTTGGAGACTGAGCATCCAATTCCTTGGGTTTATCATTTCTGTTTCCATTGTGATGGTCTTTGAGTACAACCTTTCACCAATCAAAATCAGTGTACAAAATTGCATCAAATGGGTTCGGGTCCTATGACGATACATATATGTGTGTGTGTGTGTGTGTATTTATACAAAAGCGGTATAATTAGAAGAACATAATAAGCTTAGTCCAACAATTCCCAATCCTGGGTTATTTTGGTAGAAGATGGCAATGGGGTTGAGGCATGCAGGCTTCCAACCCCCAACTCAAACCTCTCCCAATTTGTAGTGACCGAGACCGCGTTGATACTCTTCTTGCTGAATGGATTAGAGTTTCTCGCCTTCAGATTGTCGAGCGTGTCAACAAAGCTCTGCACACGTCGAACCTGTATGCACGAACACAACCATTGTCACTCTGCATTGACACAAATACTCATTGATATTCGTAAATTGGACAATTGTTTCCGAGCAAAAATCTCATGCAGGCACTTCTATGAAACACATGGGCGAATGATGTAAAAAGCATCATTCGGTACAGAAAATGTTGCACAACTTGAGAGTTGAAATTTCTCAATGTTGGAGTCCTAGGATTCGTTTCTATGACACAATCCAAAATACGCACATGGGAAACAAGTATGTTGGAGTCCTAGGATTCTTTTTCTCAAGTATTATCAACAAATCAAAATTTGATTTAGGATCCAAGAAATGTCTCCGATTTGGAACACTTTCAGTCTTCCAATTATACTCGTATTAGGCTTCAGATTTCTCAAGTTCTATTGCATTTCGAACTTTATAGAGCACGAGTAACAAGCATCATTTACCTTAAGTAATGACTCAAGTATCAAAAATATTGATCAGGATAATGTGGATAAGGTTCCCTTAGACATGGAAAACCGTATGAATCACGACACTAGCTATAAAGTTTCGAAAAAGAAGCATCACCAACCTCGACCCGCCTCTGCACTTTTGCTTCTCCATCAGCTACAATCGAATCCAATTTAAGTAACTCCACCATGAATAACTCTGTTAAGACCATAATTTCCCTATCTGAAACCTTGATGCCACTTAACAGACTTGTCTCCAAATCAACAATCTAACAAATCATTAACAGCACAATTAGCTTATAGAACGCTGCACGAAAAAAGGACCTGATCAAACACACAAACCTTTTGAGAGAGCTTGTCAACCTCTGCTCTAACTTTGGCAACTTCCTCGTAGGCTTTCAATGTGCCTTGATTTTTCTTCATCTCTTCAAGCTTCTTCTCTTTGCTAGCCGGGTCCTCTAGTAATACAATCTTCGACGTATCTTCTACGCCTGCTATGTGCAGACATTCATTATCTTCCTTCTCTTTCCCTCTGAACAACAATCTTTGTTCCTTTGGCTCCAACCCAGTCTCATGGGAAAGAACTCTCTTCAGATCACCTTGCATTTAATCGCTATTACAAATAAGTCCCCAAACAGTACCGACATGTTGAATGATGTGCGAAAAGATTGACATTCTATCCCCCACATAAATTCCAAATGCCAAGTCCATCACACCAAAATGATGAAGCAAAAGACAACTCTTGAACAATAAAAATTTTGTGTCAGAACATATGAGTTGTTTGGGATTGATTTTAAAATAATTGAAAACTCTTCTAGGTCCAAAAATGACTTAGAGTGCTTCTTGCAATAAATACTTTTTCAAAATTCACTTGCATTTTTGTTAAAAATTGATTTTAAAAATATTTTTACAAAAAACGCGTTAACCATTTAAAATCAATTCCAAACAAGGCCCGAAGAAAGAAGATTAAACAAAACCCAAGAAGCAAACTTCAAGAATCCACTGCATACATTGAAACATTAAATAATAAGAATGCTAACAAACACACTTGGGTAAAAAAGAAAAAAAAAAGACAAATACAATTTCACAAACTATTACATAAATCATTTATCACCTCCAACTTCATCCCTAGAATTGTCCATTTTGAATTTTTTTTACAGCTTTTAATAACAAACAAAACAAAATGGCATCAATGGAAATCTTCAAATTTTCCAAACATTTAAAAATAAAAATAATATGTAGAACCCAAATTGTAAATGGGCAATGCTACCCAAAATTCTCACTACAACACCAAAAGAGCAATCCTCAGAAAAATTACGAGGAGAACAACAAGAACCCAGAGAGCAAATTTAAATTAGATTAATGAGAAGATTTACCAAAAGTGGACTGAGCATGGACAAGGACATCATGGTAATAAGAACCATGAGAAACCTTGATCTTGATCATAATCCCAGAATTGGCTTCCCCAATGTCCCTCTTTTGAACAAGCATTCCACCTGGCCTCAGCTCCCAATATATTTTCCTGTTTAACCCATCATTTTCCACACTAACTCTTGATTTTTTTTTCATTCTATTTATCTGAGAGGATCATAAAAAATAAAGATATAGAGTTATGGGGAAAATGGAAAAGGTGGAATTGCAGAAAGAGAGAGGTGAGAGTGTGTGATGGCTTGGCGGGTTGAGTAAGCAAAGAAAAGGCAGCTAGCGGTTGGTCGGTACAACTCAAAAGTTGGTATGCAGGAGAGTACCACTTTACACTTGCACTCGTGCGACTGTGTTTAGTTTTCCTGGAGATTACGTGGGCTTCGTAGCATACTTATATGATGATCAAGTAATGGGCTTTTTGTGAAATTTGGACTTGGATTTGAAGTTCATGGATATTTTAGAAGTGTTTGCCACCAATGCACTTTGATTGGTCCACTTTGTTCAATGTGTTAAGGACATGGATTATGTGTCTTCTTAAGTTGGCGTGGCCTCCCTATCCAAATACTCAACTTGGGTTCTTATCATTTTTTAGTTTATTTTAAGGGAGTTGTATTTAATTGAGAATTTAAGAGATTTTAATGGATTTATACATTCATGAATTTTTATGAAGTTTAACTAATTTGTAGAGATTCCATGTAAAATTTTGATTCAATCCCTCAAAATCTCATAGGGAGAGGTGAGATTTGTAGATGCTTAAAATACACTACAAAATCTCTCCATTTCCCTTTAATTCCTCAACTTTTCCAAATTCTTTAAATTCTAATTGTAATTGAATACATCTAGAATGTTATAAAACTTCTTTCAAATTCTAATTGAATACACTCGGATTTCTAAGGATTTTAATAAACTATCTTAAAATCCTGATTGAATACATATTGAATTTCAGAGAATCACTTAAAATCAAAATTGAATACCCTTGGATTCATTAAAAGAATTAAAATCCCTCAAAATCCCAATTGAATACACCCCCCCCCAAACCATCACCCCTACATTTTTTAGTTGAATAATGTTAGGTAAACTAACTTTTTAGATTAATTTATAAATTATACAATGTGTCACCAAGCACATTAATCAATACTTAAGAAATAATTAAATCATTAACAGCCACATCATATAATTTATAAAATTTGGTTTAAAAAGTTGGTCTCCTTATCATCAGGTGAGGATGCTATATGTGGCAACTCAATCATAAAGGGTGGGATCGAGTGCGGCCCAAACGCAGGGCTTCTTGCATTTTTTAGAAAGTTGTCGGATAAGGCAGCCTCACTTAAAATACTCTTCTTAATAGTGATTTGTGTCAGATTTAACTTCTCAAATACTTAGCTACTTAAAGATATTGTATGACATTATTGTCCTTAACGATACTTGGATGCTTCACTCCACAATTGATTAATAAGGTGCATAACACGTTTCTTTGATAACACCATTAACAAGGTGTATTACACTATTGCCAATTCTACCACCAGAACTACATATACCCACCATCAACGCTTTATATGTCTGCGAGGTCTCTCACAATCCATTTGAAAAGTTATTATTATCCAACACATCTATTCCGAACTAAGTCTACATGGGTGGTGTTCTTTTTCTTCTCATTATCCAAAAGAGAAGACAGCTCTCTCTCTCTCTCTCTCTCTCTCTCTAAAGCTCTGTTCTCTTTGCTCAACTGGTGATAGCGGCACCTCCTCCATCCTTTTGTGTTGACTCTCCATCCTCTTTGTGATGGTTCCTCCACCCTCTGACCCCTCAACCTCTCCATTGCTTCTTTTCCTTCCTTCTTCCCTCTTATATCATGCCCTATTGCTCATTTTTCTCTGACTTTTTGTAATAACCCGTATTTTAAAAGTATATATGTATGTTCATATACATTATTATGTTTCTTTCAAATATAATTATGTTACAAGGTTTCAAGAACTAATATTTTTGGCACGTAAGTTACTTTATGAGGTCCTTTGACCACAAAAGTTTATATATTCTCGTACTTAACTAGTATCTGAGATGCCTTTTATTTTGAATAGGAGAGTGATTTGGTTGAAGTTGGTTGATATTTACTATCAAAGAATACGTGGCACATTTGCAATCATTAGGACTCAAGCCATATGTGATTACACACCACTCTAAAATAAGGAGGCGGAAGTCTACATATAGAGGTGGCTGGTAGAGGACTTGTTGGTGCCTTACTATTTGAACACCTGGATGCTTACGTTCAAGTTTTTACTCTCACAGCTGGAACATGACGTGATTCAAGCTACATAGATAGAGCCTCCGTGAAGCACAAGCAATTCCAATCATCCCCTTTACAGGAAAGAACATGCAGAAAAGAAGACATCAGCAGGAGGAAGAAGTTCCCTCCTCGGACCACTCCTTCATACAACCCATTTATTTTAGGTTATATAAAGGCCTTTAATCCATCTCCAATGTATTTTGTAAATCTTCTTAAGTAGTGAAATACAAACACAGACACAACATAGTGAACGTAGTCGATTTGGTGAACCATTTAAACTCCGTGTGTGTGATTTTGTTATTACAAGAACTATGCATGAATCACAACCAAACAAGAAACCCTTCGAAAAATTTGGAAAAGTAACCATATTTTAGACCCTATATAGAATTATAGCCACCATTTTAATTTTATGATAATTCTAACCAAAACTTATGTAAAAGTACTAATATACCCTTAATATTAGGGTTTCTCACAACAAAAACAAAATCTTCGTGGAAATCAATAGCAATCAACCAAGAATGAAAAACAGGGAGAGATTTTGACAAAAAAAAAAGGAAAAAGAAAAAGAAAACAGGGAGAGATTAAAAATTGAAGAAAATCAAGAGAAGAGAGGACCTGCAAGTAGGGGTATTGGGTAGTATTGAAGAGGCTACCTCTTTTATGCTTGAAGACCTCAACTAATTGTTGTTTTTTCATGTTAAGGGTATATTAGTACTTTTACATCAAGTTTTGGTTCGAATTATCATAAAACTAAAATGGTGGTTATAATTCTATGTGGGGTCCAAAATATGGTTACTTTTCCAAATTTTCCAAACCCTTCATGTCGGTAATGAAATTTCATTTCCTTTAAAAAAAAAAAAAACTTTTATGTTTTGTCTATCAATTATCTTATTACAACAATATCTGTTAATAGAAATTTCAATTGAAATGACTTTAATTAAAATTAAAAATAAATTTATAAGGCTAGTTTATTTAAGAAAATGATTTTTGGACTCCCATTTTATCTTCACACAATACCTCTGTTATTATATTTGTCTTAATTGAATTAGATTAAACAAAATCATCGTAGTAGAGAAAATCACTACTATTAATTTAATATGTAAGACGGAAAAACATAAATTTGGACACATTTGATTTGAGTGAGTTTTTTATTTTTTATTATTGTTTCTTTTTTGGTAAATTGTTATTTTATTGTTGGTGGAAATATGGCATATAAAAAAAATACATCTTTGTCATCGTGGGCCACACCCTGTCAAGACATGTAGACAATGGGCCCAAATTGAGATAGCAGCTTGTGGACAGAGGTGGACTAATAACCTTTCAAAAGAAGTTACAGATGGGCCATCAAAAGACCCACACTTCAGATTGTCGAACTCAGTTAATCAAACTTTTTTGACAAAAAAAAAAGGGTTAATCAAACCTTTTTGACAAAAAAAAAAAAAAAAAAAAAGTTGATCAAACATTGAATATTGATGGGAATGGGATTATTTCTTTCGTTTAAGACAAACTTTTCGTGACACATACGCCAACAAAATGCTACATTCGCAAGAAAAATTAATTGAAATTTTTGATAAATGGATTATGAGAATATATTAAATGGATGAAAATAATCTGCAATTTGATGGAACAATTGACAAAACTAACGGCCGATGGGACATCTGCACAAATTGAAAAGTTATAGGGCTCAAAATCAAATTGAAAGTTTAGAAAGAAAAGTGAAATAAGGCCTATAAATTAAGAGGCATTGCACTCAGTATTTTTCTTTTGTTTAGGCATATTAAAATTAAAATTTTATTGTTTTTGACTCTCACGTTAAATAAAATTGAATTATAATCTTTGGCGTATTTATTTATTTTTGTTCCGCCGTGTTGTTGAGAAAACTATTTTTCCACTTAAAATGCCCCATATGTATATTCTATTGGAAATATAGTGCTATATTGCCGAGTTTGAACATTATACATGCCCATTTTAGGACAGGAAAACTTGAATTTTTTTATTGGTTTTTCAATATGTTCTAAGGTACAACATTTGTAGCTTGCTTTTAATGTTTTCTCGTCTCATAGCTAGTTAAATTCAAGGTTCTTTAAGCTGAGGAAAAAGGACCAGAAAACCACAAAGATTTTCGTCACACCAAATGCGCAAGTAATATTGTCACGTGTTGTCATAAATGCTTTTAAAACACAATTAGACAAGACGATAAGTTCATATCAAAATATGATATTGTTTGAATTACTTATAATAAATCAAGTAACATTTACGAGTCAGTGTAACGTCATTACAGTCACACATTAAATGTTTCTTGTTTTTTATGTGATCATCTATGGTAGGGATTGCATAGTAACTTAATGTTCTAATTGGTTACGTAGGTCATCGTGTTGCCTAATGAGTCATGTATTTATCTTCAGCACCACCAGTTCTAACACATCAAACCTCACCATCGTAATTTCTTTCAGCCATAAATATCAACCCCATTCTCTATTCCATATGTAAGTGCATCAAATACGGACACGTCAACGAACATAAACAAATGGCCATCGGTTACTTGTCACATTAATATGTATCCACGTGTCAATATCTTGATTAGAATTAGAAAAGAGATCCTTGAGCGATGAATTGCAAAATTATGGCATCTACGATTTAGAGGTGGAAATCTGGATAACGAAAGTTAACTTTCGGTTAAACATCTTTAAAGGAAGATGGTATAGATTCTAAAGTTGTTCTCGACATTTTCTTCAAACTCTCGTCATATGGAATAAGTTCTACATGTATATGCCATAATATATTATGGGTTCCACCATGAAAAAAAGAAGAGAATTGAACTCTTTAAAAAGTTGGGTTCAAAAGTATTTTTTTGAAAAATAATGTACAAAAAATATATTTCTTTTAGCACGGGAATGATTTAAGTTGATGTACAATTAAAGTGCCAATTAATTAGGTTATAAGAAATCACATTTTTTTCCAGCACATTGGGTGCATATACTTTGCCAGAAA